ACTGGAGTGTAGCAGGGTTTGTGACCAAGGGACAAAAGCACACATTCAGGCAGGGATCCAAGTCAGAGGGCTCATCTTCCCACAGATAAAGCTACGGATCCCATCGCTTTCAGAGGAACCTGCTGCTCCCGTGGTTCAGAGCAGCCCTGCCAGCACACAGCACGCAGCAGTGGGGTACACCCTGCCCAGAGAGTGCCACAGGAGCCAAAGGAGTCCCCTTGGGGCAGGGGTGAACTCTCCCGTGTGTACACACGTGCATGCGCACAGATGAAGGTATTGGTGCATACACTGCCTGCCCACACCTGCCTGCACCCCCCACGTGCACCCAGGCACACATCCATGTGCTCACACTCTCGAGCGTGTCCCCGCATGCCCCCAAGCCCAGGCCCTTCATTCCACCTCCTTCCCATGTTGTGTGTCACCAGCACGTCAGGACTCCCTGCCCGCCTGGCAAGGCCCTGCCAGTTGCCATGGCAATGCTGTGCCTAACAGGAGATGAAGTTTGCTCTCCACTCTGCAGCAAGGGGCCAAGAGCAGCCGGGGGTACACTGACATCCTGGCTCTGCCCAGCTGCCCTGCCCTGCTGCCCAAGGCACGGCTCTTCTGTGGCTGCACCAGCTCAGCCCAAGATCCAGACCCTCAGTTCTGGGCTCCTGCTGCCTCACAAGCCATGGACCTGCTGTCTGCATCCCCAGAGCATGTGTCCTTTGGTGGGACATCTTCACCCCACCATGGGCAGCCACCTTCTGCCAGCCACGTGACCCAGGAGCAAGCCTTGCCCAGTGTCAGGAAGGACTTGGACAGCCTGGACCTGGTTCACAACACTCATCACTGCACAGCCCCTGGCCCTTCCTGTGGTGCCTGCAGCATCTCCAGAGCCCACCAGGACCTGACAGCCCCTCCATGCAGTATACACCTTCATGGGCTTTCCAGTTTTAACCAGAGCAGGGACAGACCCTGTTGGTTTCCATGCAGAGTGGACAGGTTGCTGTCTGTGCCACAACATGCCATGCCCATGGACCCACAGAACAGGCATGGGGCATACTTGGGGCCCCTATGGCCAGCCCCACAGAACCAGTGTGCCTGTATCCCTCACACTGAGTCATCCATCCCCAGCAGTGCCCCTGGTCCAGCCCCTGCGCCTGGCTCCCAGGTCAGGACCAGAGGACATCCCCCAAATGTCCCCAGGAGCATAGTGCTGTACCCCATCCCAGCACCCCAACCATCCCTGGAGTCCCAGCATGGTGCCTGAGAGCTATGGAGCCCTGCAACCAGCCCTGGACCGACCCCTGGGGTCCCATCCTCCACCCACTGCATGTCAAGCCCCCTCCCAAGCTTTTCAGTGGCTCTGGCTCCACTTCAAAGGGGCCATGGCAGGGCCAGGTCCTGGCAGCTACTTCACAGGGCATGAGGGGAGCTTTCATTAATGAGAGGGAGCATGAGCTCACCATCCCGGCGAGGACAGCAGTGACATTTGGGAGGCACACAGACAAAGCAGGGCAGGGTGATCAGCTGATAACCTTTCCTGGGAGAAGCCAGGTGTGTACACCAGTATGGGGGGGGCACATCTCCCACACAGGGGGCCTCTGAAAACAGCACTAAGTGCCCCAGCCTGCTCCTTCAACAGGGCAAGGAGAGTGCCCCAAGGTGATTCTGCAGCCTGGGCACCCTGAAGTGCTGAGTGGCACCTGCAGCACTGTCACATCCATCTGTGTCCTTCCCAATTGGTGGTGACAGGACCCCATTGCACCGGGATCCCCATAGGGCAGACCCCAGCAGCCCCCACAGGAATGCGTGGGGGGACACAGCATCCCACAAGCAAAGGGGGATGAGGTTTCAGAGCACAGTGCCAAGGTCCAGCTTTGGCAAAGATGCCAGGTGGGAGCCGAGGCTCTGCAGGGACTGCCCCCACCCGGGAGGGAGCTGTGCTGGGAGCAGACACGGGTGGCTTTTCCCACCGTCCTGGTGGAGGACAGGGGTGAGAGGCGACCCCAAGCGGGATGTGCCCCTTTCCTGCCCCGCTGGGGGCCAGTCCGGGGGGTGCCGGCAGCGAACAGGGGGTCTGTGTGCGGGAGGGGCCGGGACTGTGCCGGGGCTGCCATTCCCCGCAGCTGGGCCGGGAGCGCTGCCAGCCGCATTCCTGGGGCTGCCTCGCCAGCGGGAGCCTGTGTGGGTGCAGGGTGAGTGCACGGACACCGCCGCCCTGCCCGCCCCACAGCCACCACGGACCCGGCAGAGCTCGACCCCATCGAGCCCCTCCCAGTCGTGCCCCAGCTTCCCCCAAGGCTGGGGGCACATCCCTGAGGTCTGTGTCCCTGCATAGCTGGCCCTGGCATGCTGTCCCGTCTCCTCACCGAGGGTCCCTGCTCTGCAGTGGGGGCATACTAAGCCCAGCAGTGATGCAGCCTAGGAGTCCCAGGAGCATGGAATGGGGTTGGAACAGGGAGAACGAAAGGATGGGAGAGACAAGAGGAGGGGGAGGACTGGAGAATGGAAGTCCACCCAGCCCACCCGGGCCCTTGGGATGCATCTCTGCCCGCAGAAACAAGGTTGGCAGTGCACAAAGCTGCAGTGGGAGAGGGAACTGGGACATGATGGAAACAGCCAGCTAGGGCTCTGCTCAACGCCTCATTTCCCAGGAGCCTCCATCTCCCCTGGCTGCCGGGGCAGCACAGATCTGCCCTGGGCTACAGCCAGGCACAGATCCCTGGGGAGGGCCCAAAGTGGCGAGGGGGCACCCCCTGCGGATGTCCTTACCATGCCACCCTGGCTGGCCGTCCCCGAGGTCCACACTGCAGAGGGTGCAGCCCCCATGGTCCTGCTTCCGGCCTCGCTGCTGTGAAAGGTGACACAGGCGGTGACACAGCCAGCTCCCCGGAGTGACAGGCACAAGTGTCAGTCTCCCAGCCGACTGCGCGGATGCAGGATGGGGATGCGGGCACTGGAGCAGCCTGCACAGAAAGGACACAGGGAAAGGTGCCAGCTCCAGCTACCCTCTGACCATCCCCACCCTAAGCATGCACCTCAGACCTACCTCCCCTGGGCCATCCTCGGTGGCAAAGGGTTAAGGAAGCAGTGGGGGTGCAGCAGAAACCCCTCAGAGCAGAGGCACAGTCTCAGCCTGGGGACAAGTATGCCAGGACACATGGCAGGGTGGGAGCAGAGGGTGAACATCCCTCTCCTGGGGCCAGCCCTGCTCCCCCCAGCACGGCCATGCTGCCAGGAGGTGACTCTGGCTCTACTGAAAACATCGTTACAGATGGGGGCGCCAGGCAATCTGGCAGGGAACCCCTCACTCCCCCTCAGACCCCTCACCTTCATCCCTTCATCTGGTGGGGTGCCAGCTGGCACAGGGTGCTCAGCACCCCAGCACCTTCCTGGGACAGACTGTAGCTGCTGGGGGCTGCACAGGGTGGCTGGGGTAGGCTAAGAGCCAGGACCTGGTCCATGGCCAAAAGCATGACAGCAGCAGTGCTGGCAATGCTGTGGGGACAGTGCGGGGACAGAGCAAGGTGTGTTTGGCATCCTGCACACCGGCAGCTCCATCCCACACACGCAGGCTCCCTCTGCCTCCCCCTCTCAGCCTCGCCAGCCCCTTCCCAGCCCAGCTCCCATGGCAATTACACCCTGCCCAAGCCCATCCATCACAGATTAGCTATTTTCTATCGGCATTTATCTCCAGGCAATCTCACTCCTGCCGTGACAGCCTGATGCTTCCAGCACCCTCCTTCCTGCTACCGGGCAGCCCTGATAAAGGGCAGCTCTATCTTATCGTGCTCCCCAGCAGTTACACATTAATGGTGCCATCTCCGGGGCTTGGCTGGGGTGGGATGAGCTCAGCCCACTCCCGGGCTGGCAGCAAGCATCACTGAGCAATGCAGTAATAGGCACTGTGCCCAGCACGGAGGGCATGGGCAAGCTGCAGGCAAGCGCAGGTTGTGTGGGTGAGGTTCCCAGCGCAGTCCCAGTGCAGATGGATCCCACCAGGGTTGGGGGGAGTGCCCCTGCCCCCAGCCCGGGGCAAAGGGCAGCTGCTATCACTGTCTTCACCGGGCTGTTTGCTCTGTCGCCCATTAACAGAGCTGCCTTATCCAGCAGGCAGGGGCCAGAGGTGGCCCAGAGCTCGTTGCCCAGGCAGGGGCATCGATCGCGGGAAGGGGAAGGGGTGCCCCAGATAACCCCTGCAGACAAATGAGTTTCTAATGGGGTCTCAAGCCTTGCACCCCCCGGCCCAGCCCATCTCCAAGGAGATGGGGGAATGCAGCCCCGGCAGGACCCTCACCCCACTCAGGGTCCAGCTCTGTCTGTGCCTGGGGCACCAGCAGAGGCTGGGTGCAAGCCCTTTGCTGGGAGGTGTAACCCCTGCTACACCTGTGCCCAGCAGACCATGGTAATAACCAAGGAATAAGGACCCCCTGCCCATGGCATCTCTTTGTCAGTGATGCCTCACATGGCACCTGGCACATGGGTACCCCAGCTGCTCCCAGTGCTGCAACATGAAGCCTCCAGGGTGACCTGCTTCTCCAGCCCCTGCATCCCAAGCATCCCCAGACCCATACCCCATAGGGTCCAAGAGACAATGGGTGGGGCACAGAGAAGGAACAGGGTCCCTTGCCCTATGCCAGGGCATGCCTCTGGGGTGCCAGGCGGGACAGGGGCAGAGGGGTTGTGGATAACAGGGACACCTTGCACCCACAGCACATCCCCATGAGGCACGCGAGCCCTTCCAGAGGACATCACCCCAGGGGCACACAGAGTCGGGGTGAGCTGAGGGGTTGACTGCAGGGGGTCCCGCGGGGGGGGGGGAATGTGAGGGACACGCAGCGCCTCCTGCCCGAGGAGGGAGGGCTAGGGCCGCTGGGCGGGAGGGCAAGCAGCGGCAGCGGGGTGGCCGTCGGGCAGGCTGGCGTGGGGCCGGGGGGCCAGCCCCGGGGGAGCCCGGCAGCCGGAGCAGATTGGCTGCCGGTGAGGCCTCCCCGGGTTCCTTAGAAAGGGCGGCGAGTGTGGGAGGCGCTAAGGGAGCCGGCAACCACCGACCGCGCTCCCGTCCCGTCCCGGTCCCGCGCGGCAGGCACCGGCGATGCCGCGGGCAGGCGGCCCCCCGGGGGTACCGGGCTCGGCGCTGCTGGCGCTGGCCCTGTGGCTGGCAGGGTCTCCGGGCGGCGGGCAGCACTACGACTACTACGGCTGGCAGCCAGAGAGCCTGCCCCACGGGCGCTTCTACGGGCGGGAGCCGCAGTGCCTCGATATCCCTCCCGACATGCAGCTCTGCCGCGACGTGGGTTACAAGCGCATGCGGCTGCCCAACCTGCTGGAGCATGAGACCATGGCTGAGGTCAAGCAGCAGGCCAGCAGCTGGGTGCCCCTTCTCGCCAAACAGTGCCACACCGACACCCAGCTCTTCCTCTGCTCCCTCTTCGCCCCCGTCTGCCTCGACCGGCCCGTCTACCCCTGCCGCTCCCTCTGCGAGGTGGTGCGTGACTCTTGTGCCCCTGTCATGGAGTCCTATGGCTTCCCCTGGCCCGAGATGCTGCACTGCGGCAAGTTCCCCTCCGACCATGAGCTCTGCATTGCCGTCCAGTTTGGGAACAGCAAGGCCACCCCACCGCCAGGTAAGCAGGAAGGGCACTGTGATGGGATGGGGATGCGTGCAGGGCACCTGCCATGAGCGTGTTCCCATGCAACTGGGGACTCACATGCACCCCCATCCCTGCACCTCTTGAAACAGAGCACTGGGCACAGCAGGGCACACATGGGCACAGTACCACCAGCATTATCTGCTTTAGCTGGGTACCACTTGCTGCACAGGGGATGAAGGCACACAACTGCCTGCACAGAGCTGCACCAGGGTAGGGGAGAGCAGGGTGGCCATGGGAGCAGCTCTGGGGGTGAACAAGGGATGAGGTGGAAGCCACTGGAGGACCCACCACAAAACTGCATCCCTCTCCTCCCGCTCCGTCCCATCCCAGCAGCAATGAGCATCTGCATCCTGCACCTGCAGGTCTCAGCCCCGCGCTGCTGTCAGAGGGTGGCTGTGTCCTCAGGCAGGGGACGGAATATCACCCAAGGACAGCCCAGGGTCATATCAGCCTGAATCAGCCCAATATCACCCAAGGACAGCCCAGGGTCAGGATAAGGGCTGTGACACCCTTCAGGCTGGGGCTCCCCACACTGCTGCTGTGCCCCAAAGTGTCAGCACCAGGATGGTGTCCCTATGCCCTGTTCCCTCCTGGGGGGGGGGGGGGGGGGGTGCTGGGACACTGGCCAGTGAAAGCTCTGTGACCTCTGCATCAGCCCAGCACAGCTGCCTGGGGAGCAGAGGAGCTGCTGGGGCTCCCCAAAATGTCCCTGTGGAGCTGGTCCAGGTGACCGGCTTCAGCAGCAGGGAGCTGTGACAGTGGCTGGTTTCTCACCACAGTGTCCAAGATCTGCACCCAGTGTGAGATGGAGCACAAGGCAGATGGCATGATGGAGCAGATGTGCTCCAGTGACTTTGGTGAGTGCTGGGATCCCCTTCCTCCCCCCCCTACCATAGACAAAGGGCTGGGCTGCCTCCCCCAGTTCTGACAGCCCAGGAAGGGGTTGGCTGGAGGGTGCTGTTGTACAGGGACAGCCTCATGGGAGACCCCCTTGGACCATGTGCGCATGGGATGGGTGCAACACAGAGGACAGCGGGGGGGGGGGGGGGGGGGGAGGATGGTCTTTGGGGTCCTATGCTCAACACCCCCAACAGCCCCTTCCCCTCACTGCACAGTAACTTCCCCAGAGACCCTTCTCCTGGGTCCCACCCCAGGGGCAGGCTGCACCCAGTCCTGCACAGACGCCTGGCCTGGACCCCCCCAGGCAGCATCCTAGTGCCCCGCAGTCTCCCCCCCCCAACCATGCCCCACTGGTGCCACACACAGTGCTAAAGATGCGCATTAAGGAGATGACAGAGGAGAACGGGGAGCGGCGGCTGGTGGCTGCTCAGAAGAAGAAGGTGCTGAAGCTGGGCCCGCTCAAGCGCAAGGACACCAAGAAGATGGTGCTGCACATGAGGAACGCGGGCACCTGCCCCTGCCCGCAGCTCGACAGCCTCAGCGGCAGCTTCCTGGTGATGGGCCGCAAGGTGGGCAGCCGCCTGCTCCTCCTTGCCGTCTACCCCTGGCAGAAGCACAACAAGGAGATGAAATTCGCCGTCAAGTTCATGTTCTCCTACCCGTGCCCCCTCTATCATCCCCTGCTCTATGGGGCTGGGCAGCATTAGGGCTCTGCCCACCCTGCCTTGTCCTAGGACTTCTGCACTGGCCCCATGCTGCACCCCTGGTTGTACCCAAGGGCCCCTGCTCTGCTCCCCTCAGCCCCTTGGCTGTGCCCCGGGACCCTGCTCCATGCCGCAAGGATTCCTACTTGCATATGTGGGAGCCTCAATCCACAGCCAGGAACCCTGCTCCCTCCTGAGGCCCCTGTTCTGCTCCCAGGACCCCTGCCCACAGGCAGGAGCTGAGACTGCACCCAGGGCCCTTGCTCTGCACGCTTGTGAGCCCTGGTTTGCACCACAGACACTTGGCTACTTCCAAACCCCCTGCCAGGAACCCCAGGGGCTCTTGCCTGCACTCAAGATACCTGCTTGGCCCTCTTGGCTGCTCCTGTGGCCCCTGCCCAGCTCCCTGATGACATGCCCCAAAACTCCAGCCCACCAAAGCATCCCATGCCCTCATACTGAGCCCACACCCCAGCCCTGGATTATCCCACCTTCACAGGGACACACTCCAGCTGAGACAGGTCCCTCCTGCTCCACTGTCCCCAGAGACCAAGTGCCTGGAACAGCAGGGCTCCTACCTGGGCTCCCCCACCCTGTCCATCCCACATGGCTCATTGAGCATGTGAGGGGGTCCACTTCCAAGCCCCCCAGACCCCTCCTGCTGCATCCCTCACCCACATCCCTACCAAAACCCAGCCCAGGCACCCCTTGCCCATCCACACCACAGTAAATTATTCCACGTCAGAAAAGCTTGTGTCCTGTGGTTCATGGGCAATCACCTCCTGGGGCTCCCTCGAGGACCCCAGAAAGGATGGGAGGGAGCTCCAGATGCTGCCCACTGAGTGGGGCAGGAGGGTACCCTGGGCACCAGTGCTAGCCCATAGCCCAAGGCTGGGCAGCTCAGCCAAGCCAAGGAATGAGGTTTCCAGTAGTCACAGGCGTTGCTGGGGACTCAGGCATCCTGCCACGTCAGGGAGCCTGGGAGGGTGGCAAGGTGAGAAGGGTGGCGGGGAACACAGATGACAGGGGCATCACTGCTGATGGAGCCCCACAGCCGGATCTGAGGGTTTTCACAGAAGAGTTTTATCCCTCTGTCACCCTAGGGGATAGATCTGTGGGCTGGGAGCTGGAGGTACATGTGAGAAGCCTGGCACTGAACACAGGTGGAGGCAGACCCCAGCCTGGGCAGTCCCTCCCTGGACATCCCACCTGGGTACCACCTGAGAGCCCTGTCTGCTGCCAGACCTCCCACCCACAGCTCCAGCATCCTCCCAAAGGGCTCCCTGGGGCCACAGCCTGCACCAGCAGCACAGGAACCAGGGCATTGCTCACCCTGACCCCTCTGATGGCAGACAGATGCTGTCCCTCAGCTCAGCTCCCTGAGCCCGAGAACAGGGGCTGCCTCTGCCCCTCACCCCAGTCCCACTGCAGCCCTGTTTACCCAGTGCGTTCTCGCATCCAGGGAGTGAGGGAGGCACGAAGGTGGCCACAGGATATTTACCCAAACCTGGCTGCCTCACACTGCGGCTTCACACCAGAACTGGCCCCACTGCAGGGGAGCCTCCAGGGACAAGAGGGGAACTGAGGCTATGGGATGTCTGTGCCCACCCTGACAAGGCCACTGAGCACCTACCCCATGCCAGGGTAATCCCAGCTCCTTCTGTACCCCTTGGGTATGGCCTTGGCCCTACTGGCCACTCCCTCCAGCAGCAAAGGGCACTCACATTCTGCTCCAGGCAGGGGGACATGCCCCTGACCTGCACAGAGCAAGGGACAGAGGACAGCCAGCCCCGACACAGCCTCACACAGAGGCAGGCGGTCATTTTTCCCAATGTGGAAAATAAACAGGGAAAAGCCCAGATGTTGCTAGAAGGTATGTTTAGAGCGAGGCTGCCACAGGGGTAAACATCCTCAATTACGTCATTTTACTGCATAACTTAGAGTGCACAAACAAACCCCATCTCCCACAGCTCAGCTTTATCTGTAGCCCTCTGTATTCCTGTCATTAGCATCTTTCCAGGGAGTGTTCAGACACACACAGATCATCGTGCTCCTCACTCTGTTTTCTCTAGGACAAGTAACTTCTCTCTGCCTTCTACCATCGGCTGTCTGAGCTCTACAGCTCACCACCACCACCCCCTCCACCCCCCACGGACCAGTACTCACCCCACTGCATATAAACCCGCACTGACAAACACAACCCCACAGCTCTCGGGCGCTTCACAGCCCCCTCCACACCATTACAGCTGTTCCACTGCTGCCCCAGTAACTGCTGGGCTCTCTACATGCCAGCTCCCCTGCACACCCTGGCCTTGGAGCATTCCCAGCAGAACTCTGACACCCTCATCATCACTGCCAAGTCCAGCTTTTCCCCATATTTCCATAGGGCACAGCTTGAGGAAGAGGTTTATGAGCCCACGCCTGAGGGGACAGCTCAGGCTGCCCCATGTGAGCTCCCACACTGGCAGGGAGCTGGTGACTGTCACAGCCTGGTGGGCACTGGCCACTGCCAGCCCAAGAGCTCCGGCCACCCCAGACCCCCCAGCTGGGGGGAGCTGCAGCTGGCTGGCAGGGACCCAGGCCATGGCCATTCCCAGCTGCACAGCAGCCAGGGTCACATTCCTGGGATAGCTGGGAGCGTTGCTGTTCACGCAGGGAAAGGTCACCCTTGTGTGTGCAGGCAGCTGCCCGGACCACCGCCTGGGTAGGGCAGGGGAAGGAGCAGCTGTGGGAGGCAGAGAGGAAACACAACAGCTCCGGCCAGAGCCGAGCTGCTCCCTGGCACAGCCACAGAGGGGCAGCTGCACACAGCACAGAGCAGGGGCAAACAAGGCCACAGCCTGACAGGAGATGGAAACCCCTGTAAGCAATGGGAGCTAGTGGCAGAGACACATTTCTTCTCCATGACCATCTTCCAAGGGCACAGTTGCCAGGGTGACCAAGACAAGAGCCAGCTGAGGGCAAGAGATTTATTGGTCACTGTCTATATACACCTATATATTAATCTGTAGTAGAAAGCAGCAGTCAGTACGTGCACAGAGCAGCAACTTGTGCTTCTTCTGATGCTGCACCTGGAGACGGGGCCACAGTGCCCAGCCAAAACTTACCTTCTTGCCTCCTCTACTCTACAGCCAAACATTGGGGGAGAAAAGATTAAACCTGCAGGCAGTGAGGCCAAGCAGCACAGGAGTAACTAGCAGGAGCTGAGCAGAGCCAGGACCAAAGACCACATCCTAAATGAATGCAGAAATCCAACTTGATCCCTAAAATACAGTCACCTAGCACCGTGCTGGGAAAGGTAGGGACAGAGCCCTGAGGTTATTCTGCCCCACTTAGGACCAAAAGTGGGAAGGATGGCTCCTCCATCACTGAGCCAGGCCACAGGGCCTGACAAGCACGTGGAAGGGCACAGCAAGTGCCAGGGCCTGGAGCAGCTGCCATGGGTCAGTCATGGGGATGGGGCACAGCCTCTCTGCCACAGAGAGGCAGCTGGTGCAGCACATGCTGCGTGGCAAGGAGGTCTGGTCTGCCCCCAGATGGTACAGGCAGGAGTGGACACAGGCAGCCTCTGGCAGGGTGATGCCACGCTGGGAACCAAGTAGCCCGGCATCAGGCAGCGCAGGACTCAGGAGCTGGCTGGCGTTGGTGCAGTCACTTGATGAGCACCTGGTTGCACAGAGCACACACAAACACCGTCTCCCTCTGAGCCTCTGGAGCTGCAAAGGAAAGGAGGTGTCAGAGATGCTCCCCTTCCCCCTCAGGCTTCCCCACTCCCAAGCAACTCTCAGAGCTGCTCCAAGAGCTGGCAAACCATTCACCACTCTGTCCTGAGCCAAGCAGCACTGAACAGGTCCTGTCCCACCAGAGCTGGGGCAAACCCCTGCAGCAGAGAGAGCTCTGCCCTCCTCCACTGTCCACTCACCTGTGGCTCCCATCACAGCCTTGGGAACTTTGAAGGAACAACACCTGGAGCAGAAGCTGTTCCCACAGTTACTGCAGCTCCGCTGTGGAGAGAGATGGGGGTGAGACACTATTCTAAGCCCATTCCCAGCCCTCCTTGGCAAACTTCAGTGCTGGAGCACTGCTAAACAGCATTCCCTGCTGAAGGGGAGTGGGTGCAAGCCCTGAGCCTCAACAGCAACAGCAGAGGAGTCATCTGCCAACACCACCTGTACAAACCACCCAGACCTCATGTGCTGGATCTGCATTCAAGTGTGCTCTAACATCACAGGCAGCCTGTGTCCATCCTGAGAGAGCACAGGCTCCAGGAGGTTTAAGGACACTACATCACTTCCTATGCTGTAATCCTGGAGGGATGCAAGCTCCAGAGTGCCAGCCATTTCAGACCCAGGAGTAAGGGGAGGCAGCAGGAAGACATCAGTGCCAGTCTAGAGGGGACAAGAGATACCCCCTCCCCAGAACTGCCCAGGGGACTGTGTGCCAAGCATCACACCTAGGATTAAGATAAAAGGGGTGGGCTTTGCTCCTCTAATTCCCACAAACAGACCCATGCTCTGCTTCATTGGGAAGCTCTCAAGCCAGAGGAAACAGGTTAAACAGGAGGACAGAGCAAGTGCCTTCTACTACAGTACACACAGGTTTAGCCCGAGGCAGCTTCCAAAGGAACAAATGGATAAAAGACTCCACAGCACAAGGGATCCCTGTCACCCTTAGGCATGCAACAACACCCAGCATTTAGCTGAGGTCATCTGCTGCTGAGCTGTGATTGAGGTCAACCACCTGAGCTGCCAGAGAAAGCCAGGGTGAGCCAGGCACACACAACACCTCTACCCCAGAGGCAGGCAGCAAGCTGGCAGACTCACCCTCTTCTTGAGCACAGAGAAGGTGGCTCCACAGCCAGTGCAGCTCCCTGGAAGAAATGAAGCGGAGATCAGACAGGGCTCTGCTGCCTAGGACCATGAGAGCTACAGGAACACCCATGGCTGTTGTAAAGCCTCAGCTTAGAGGTAATATTGCTGCACCTTCCCATCTTTGCCCCTCCTAGGAAGCCTGGAAATATCCTCCCCATGGAGAAGGGAGGTCACTGAAGGTGTCAACACAGCCTTAGCAGGTACATCCCCACTCTGTCCATTCCCAATGCAGTGGTCACCACTGCAGCATAACCCCTGCAATGCTGAGCTCCCCTGAGCCTTACCAAAGTTGTTGCTGGGGTAGCGCTTGCGCAGGCGCTCGGTAAGGCGCGACACTTTGCTGCGGATCACCTCGTTTTTGCTCATAAAACCGTTGTCTGGGAGGCTGAGGTCAAAATCTGCTGAGCACTGAGAGCTCTCATCATCCTCCTGCAGAGAACAGAACCAGCTGAGAGTGGAGGGGTGGCTGTGAGCATGCTTGTGGGCTGCAGGGTGGCCCAGCCCAGAGATGGGCACCCAACAGGCAGGATGCTCCATATGGCATCCCCACAAGCCACCAGCAAACCAGGCAAAGGCTGCCAGCTGCTCCAGCATGACTTGGCATGGCAGTACTCACCATGACCAGTAGCTGGTTCTCCTTTTCCCGCAGCATGGGATAGAGGAGAGGCAGTACAGACTGAGTCAGAGGCATCCAGCCCCACAGCCACCCTCCTCGAGCACCCAGCTTGCCCACCAAGGCTCTCATCCCTTCCCACCCCAGTGGCCCTACAGGCAGAGCCCAATCCCACCAGCCTCAAACCTCGATAGCATCTTTGAACTCTTCATCAGGCTCTGCCTCCTCCGCCTCCTCCACACTGCCAGGGGTAAGGTCCTGCAAGAGATTCACAGAGTTCATCCTGCTGTACCCCCACCCCTTTCCAAAGGAGGACTCAGACTTCTGCAGTGGGTTCCAGGACAAAGGACCAGCCCCTCATGAGCCCCATGAGAAGAAATGAGTCCCAGAAGGTGAAGTGAGCCCCTGCCTCCCCAGACAGCATCCTCACATGCAGCAAAACAACTGAGCCAAGCCCCCAGTGCAGTTGCCCCAGCAACTCAGGAGGAGCTCACAGGCTTCCATCACCAAAGCTGGCAGCTGGAAGCAGTTTGAGGGTATAGGGACACAGGCACAGTCAGACCAAAAGGTGACCTTCAACTCCCACTCCACAGGGGACAGCCCTGCCCCTAACTCACCTCTGTGCTGGTGGGTGTGGGGGTCTGGTCCAGGGGGGCAGCAGCAGGCAGGGGCTCAGCAGGCTCTGGAATGCTCTCAAGGGGTTTGGCTCCCACACACTGCTCAATCGAGGCCCTGACCTCCAGTATCACTGGTAAGAGGGGAATGCAGCTGGATTGGGGTGGCACTTCCCATCTTCCAGCCCCACTGCACAAAAGCCAGCTGCAAGAGCCAATCTCCAGGGCTCAGTATGGGACAGTGGCATACACAGCCTTCACTTATCAGGTATCCTGAGCCCTCCTCTGCTCACACATCAAAGTTCGGGCAGCAAGAAACTGCCACACTATCTGCCCCAGCTCAGGATAAGGAACAGCAGGGGCCTTAGTCAGAGATCTCACTCCAGCATGTGCTACAGAACAGGGAGCACCTTCAGCTCTCCTCCGCTCTGACAGCGCATTTTCAGGACAGTGTCATACTCTCAGTGCCTATGGCAGTGTATTTCGTGTCCTGCAGAGCAGGGTCAGGATCAAGAGGGATGCCAATGCTCACGTACAAGTTGTGTTGTCAGCCCTAGTTTGCCACAGCATAGAGAAGAGCAGAAAACAGCACCCAGGCCAGGACACACACCAGGAGAGGCTCTCACCTGGCTTCAGAGGGCCTTTCTCCAACCCATCCCACACAGGCCAGCTCCAGGGAAGTCTCTTACCTTGGTAGAACTGGGTGTTGCCCAGGAAAAGGGTGCTGTTGAGGATGGCCAGGACCCAGCAGAGGGGCAGCAGGTAAAGGACACAGACAGTGCCCAGCAGTGCCCCATAAAATCTGAGAAGGAGCAGGAGAACACTGCAGTCAAGACAAGGCAAATCACAGCACAGCACAGGCCCCCCTTCCTTCATCTGGATCTCCACAGCCTCTGTCCAAGTACCAAACACATCAAATGCAGTTCCACAGGCCTGGCTGTGCCTCTCTCCCCACTGACCTCACCACAGGATGCCTGACCCACAGTACTCACTGGGAAGAGACAGTGGGGTTCTCCCAATACAGTACACGGTACACTGCCTCGCAGCTGCAGCACATCCCGCTCAGGAACCCCTCCAGCTGGATCAGGCTGCAAATGAGACCTCAGTCACAAAAAAGCCCCACAAACACACACCCTGGCTCCCCCACACCTCACAGTGGCCAGGCTGGTGTGAACCCAGACCCTCAGAAGCCTTCCTGGCTGCAGGGGCCCCAGAGACTCACAAGCTCTTGACCTGGGCGATGGCCTCCTGCTTTGAGAGCTGCACCTTGCGCAGGTCCTCTCGTCGCACGCTGTGGTACCTCCTGCGCACCAGCTCCGGCTCCGAGGGCTGGGCCCGGCACGTCTCCTGCAGGTAGCCCAGCAGCGCCGGCACAACCACCAGCAGCGCCAGCACCGAGTACCAGGCGGCTGGAAGAGGAGGGACAGCGTCAGCCCGGGGACTCCGGGCAGGGAACCGGCCCTGTCCCCGCACACGCACCTTTGCCGAGGGTCAGCAGGAGGAAGTTGAGGCCGAGGCAGACGAGGAGGGAGCACAGGGGCCGCTGCCACCTGCGGGGAAGACGGAGAGTGAGGGACCTGAGGCCACGGCGACGGTCTCGGTCTCGGCCCAACCCGCACCTACCGGAGGAGGGAGCGCACGCCCTCGGCGGCGTCCCGCAGCGGCTCCAGGTAGAGCTCCAACCGCCGGTAGCTCCGCACCAGCTCCAGCAGGTCGAAAGCAGAGGCTGCGGCCTTGGGCGGCGGTGACGGCAGCTCCAGGGGGGCATCCCCGCCCGCCGCCGCCGCCCCCTCGGGGCTGCCCGCCGCCCCGTCCCGCTCCCCCGCCTGCATGCCGGGATCGCCCTACGCTACCCGCCGCTTCCGCGAGAAGGCCAGATGCGCCATGACGTCAGCCGCGGCGCTCGCACACCGCCAACCAGAAGAGCCGGGATAGAACGCGCGGACAGAAACCCCGCCCCGGCGCGAGAGCAGCGACGGAAGAGGCTCCGGTCCCGGAAGCGGCGGGAGGGGAGGAGAGGGGAGGGGAGGGGAGAGGGAGAGGGAGAGGGAGAGGGAGAGGGAGAGGAGTGCGGCCCGAGCGGGCGCCGGCTTTGGCGGGGACGGTCCCGCGGCTGATCGAGGCCCCAGCCTGGCGCCGATCCGGGGCTGTTCCGGTCCCAGTCTAGGGCTGAGCGCTGCTCCCTGTCTGGGGCTCAGGCCTCGTCCTGATGGGGGTCAGCTCCCGGTCCAGGGCTCAGTCCCAGGCTGGGTCTCGGCATGGCCTGCCCTCAGCCGTGCAGGGAGCTGTGGTTTTGTCCCCGTGGGCTCCATTGCTGGGAACCTCTCTACGGGGAGAGACCAGAGATTGCCCCCACACTGGCACTTGGGAGGGAATGGGAGGTTACCCCCAGGCCCATAAGCGTGGCTGGCAGCTCATCTACTGCCCTTACATGACCCCAGAGTGGCCCAGCCCTGGCTACCCTGGCACTGTTCTGCAGAGCAAGGCATAGCCGCAGGTCCTGCTCCCACCACCGCAGGCACCACAGGCATCCTGCCGGGTGCTTGCAGGAGGGCAGGGCTGCTGACTCCCAGGGGTGCTCTGGGGACCCTGAGCTGCATACTGTGCAAAAGGGGGGAAGCCGTCCCATAATAATCCATGCAACCTTGTTAACCCTATGCCAGTTGTTGGGCTATGAGTACAGCACAGGACATGTTACCTGTGCCGGTGACACCCCATCTGCAGGTAGAGGTACACGGCTCGTCCCCATCGCAAAAGTGCAGCCCAGGGCTGGAGACAGCCCCAGGAGCTGCCCCCCAGCCCACCCCCAGCTCTCCAGGGCCCCAGCAGTGTGGGCACGACTGCCCAGCAGTGCCCCAGCCCTGGAACAGAGAGCCCTTTTAGTCTGGAGTGACAAAGCCCATAGGAACGCAGCTCCATCCTGCCCCCACTGTGTCCCTGCAGCCACACTCAGCGCCTGCACTCAGCACCCATGTGAGGACCAAGCTGTGCCCTGTCTCTGGAGGGGGCAGGGAACAGCCCCTGTCTTCAAGGGGGAAGTTTAAGCTCTCTATCTGGAGGAGTGGCTCAGCACCAGGGATCTTGCCAGTGACCCCAGCGTACACCAGGATGTGTTGACCACGTCCTGGGTTCAGCTGTAACAGTTCTTTTTCTCCTCCTCAGTAGCTGGTGCAGTGCTGTGGTTTGGTTTTAGTCAGAGAACAGCTCTGATAACACCTGTGTTTTAGTTGTTGCTAAGTAATGCTTACCCCAGTTAAGGACTTTCTCAGTCTCATGCTCTGCCAGGGAGGAGGGGCACGGAAAGCCAGGAGGAAGCAGAGACAGAACACCTGACCCAAACTAACCAAAGAGGTATTCCATACCACAGCATGTCATGCCCAGTATATAAACTGGGGGCAGTTACCCTGAAGGCCAGGATCACTGCTGGGGTCGGGTTGGCATTGGTGAGCAACGGTATTGGGCACCACTTGCGTTTGTTGTGTTTTTTCCTTTCCATTTTTAGTTTTATATTTTCTCCCGTTATCGTTTCCCTTATCATTATTATTATTTCCCTTCTCATTAGTAGTAGTAGTTTTGTATTATGCTTTTGTTACTGGACTGTTCTTATCTCAACCCATGGGGTTTACATTCTTTTGATGCTCCTCCCCATCCTGCCTGGAGTGGGGGGAAAAAGGGAAGTGAGCTAGTGGCTGTGTGATGCTGAGTTACCGGCTGGGCTTAAACCAGAGGCTCCAGACAGGAGGCCCTACGGTACAGGGCTACAGAACCAGGGATAATCTCAGCTCAGACCCTGTCCCCAGCAGATCCCAACCCCAGCACAAAGACCCAGACACCTGGTGAGCGCCAGTGATGCTTTATTTGGAAGGTGAATCCATAGGCACTGCGGAGGGGGCTGGAGTGGGGACAGAGCTGGCGTGACAGGCAGGGAAAGGCACTTGTGGTGGCAGAAGCCCTGCTGGACACCTTGGGCAGCATGAGCCAGGGGCTGCACCAGAGCAGACAAGAGGCAGGAGGTGTCAGGGACCGGCCCTGACACAGGGAGGCGACAGAACATTCTGCCCAGGAAAGGGGCAGATGGCCTGGGGGCTGGCAGAGCCCACAGCATGAGCGTGGATCAGCTGGGACAGCCCCTCATGATGGAAGTGGTGACCCAGCACCAACCCCAGACCCTCCCAAGCCCCAGGAGGATCACAGCTGCTGCTCTCCACTCCAGAAAAGGCACCAGGGAGCCCCAGACAACACCCAGAGTGTGGCCAGGGAACCGACTGTAAGGAACACCCATCCCACCGATCTCAACCTATGAAGAGACTGGGGCAGATCATCCCTCACACCAGGAGCAACAGAGAGGACCTGCCCCCAGGCAGGGTGAGGAGGGCTTATGGCAGGGCAGCCTCAGTGTGCTGGTCCTCCAGAAGTTCCCAGTCTCTGGCTGCCCATCACTCCAGCCAACCCCACAGGGCCTCCTCAGGGCTTGGCACCCAGTGGGCTGCGGAGACTGATCCAGGGCTGGGCTGGCCTGCTGCTGGCATCCTCTTCTGTTGCCCAGGGCAGGCCGTGCCCCCACAGTGCCCAGCCCCAGCTCACCCGCAGCCACAGTGCCGGCGGCAGTCCAGTGCTGCCATGCTGCTGTGCTCACCCTGCTCCTCTTCCTCGCCATGGTCTCCAGGCAGTTCAGGGCCCAAAATGGAGCCAGATTGTCCCAAGAGGAGTTTTCTGGAATGATAAACCAAGTGGGGAGCCTGGCAGGGCTGCAGGCCAGTCTTGAGTGCCGCTGGTGAGGCTGTGCCTGTCCTGTTTGGAGCAGCTGGGCCCTGGTGGCTCAGAGCCATGAACCTCACTGCAGGAGGGCAGGGGGAGAGAACGACCCTCTGCCCTGCTCCCTTCAACCCCAGGGGCATCCATCCCCATCCTGGGGCAGTATGAACCCCAGGGCTGGACCAGGCAATGGCCTTGCTCACCCTTCCCCTCACCCCGCAGTGATGGAGGCCGTGCTGTCCTGTGCGGGCTCAGCCCCAAGCAGGACAGTGTGTCGAGGCTCTGGGGTGACAGTGGGTCAGGCTGTGCAGGACCTGGGTGTCTCCACACCCCCCGAGTGCAGAGCAGGATGGGCTGAACCCCGCGGGGCTCTAGGAAGACGGGAGACATGTCCAGGCCAGACAGGAGGAGGGGCCCGGGCTGGGGAAGCCGAGATCAGAGCCTCCATTGGAGAATTGCAGAGGCGCCGTGCAGTTGGGAATGGTGAGAAGGGGCTGCTGGAAGGCTGTATAGGAGGCAGGTCTACCTACCCAATCCCACTACACACCACTGCCCCCTGCCCAGCGCCCCCAGGCCAGTCCCTTCTGCCCCAGGGATAGGTCAGCACCCACCTGAGCATGCAGCATCTGTAAGGCTGGGGGCAGGGGAGTTGGGCAGGGGCCCTGGAGTGCTCCCAGAAACTGGTGTCCTTCTGAAGGACTCTCCACTTGGGTCGTTCCACTTGCAATAGCCAACATCTGTCCAGGGCTGGGAGAGGGGCCTGTGCAGTGGCTGGAGCTCCACATTGTCTTGGTGTGATGCAGGAGAAGCCATGCTTGGGGAAGGCCTCTGTCTGTCCACCCGTCTGTGCAGGAATCTCCGGAGGAAGCACGGTGCAGTCAGCTAGGAGGGGATGGGGCATCAGGGTCACTTTGTCCCAGAGGGGTGCTGCGCTCCATCCGCAGGCGAGGAGAAGGAGAGTGCTGTGGGGTCTCAGATGATGTCGCGCTCATCCCGGCAGCGTCGTGACAGGCAGTAGAGCCCAGAGAAGAGGTACAGGCAGGCGGCGATGCCCCCGCAGACAGAGGCACTCAGGTAGGCACCGTAGAGGCAATGCTGGCTGTAGCCCGGCAGGTTGCAGTAGCTTTTCCGCCCAGCCTTGTAGCCCATTATGCCGGTGGCAGCCGCGTAGAGCCCCACTCCCAGCGCCAGGTCGTGCACCAGGTTGGTGAGGAGCCAGCGGGAGCCCAGCCAGGGCACCAGGGTCCAGCGCCCCAGCAGGCTCAGCCCGAAGAGGGCCAGGGTGAGGAGCCAGACCAGGACGGCGGCGAAGAGTGCGAAGTGGGCCGCCCCCTCGTACTTGTGAGCCGCCACCGTCACCCAGAAGGCAGCGCCCAGCGCCAGCTGCCCGAGACGCAGCAGGCCCAGCGGGCTCCGCAGGTAGGCGCGGTGGAGGCTGAGCGAGCCTCGGGCCAGCGGCCCCGGAGGCGGCGGTACTGCCGGGGGAGCCGGGCGGGCCATGGCGCGGCCCTGCCTGCTCCGGGGCTGCTCGGGCTGGACTCAGGGCTCCGGCAGCGACTTCCTCCGCGGCCGCTGCCAAACATCTGGCGTTTAACGGTCCTCCCCGCGCGGGGCCTCTTTCCTCTCCCCTCCGCTCCTCTCCGCCCCGCCTCCCGCCTGCGGATTCCTCTGCTGCTGCCGTCGGGCGGGAGCTGCCGCGCACCTCCCGTCCCGTCCCGTCCCGTCCCGTCCCGTTGCCGGGGAGGCGGCGGGAAGCGGCGGCCGGGCCGTGGGGAGCGGCACAGGGACCCCGCGCCGCGGCCGGCTCAGGGGCGCGCGCCAGGGCTCCCCTGTACGTCACCCGGGATTCCCTGTCGGTGTGACGTACGCTGGGGCTCCGCCCGGGGGCGGGGCCGCGCCCGCCGTTCCCCCACCCATTGACGTCACTCACGCCACGTGGCCTCGCTCGACGGAGGGGCGGTGCTGCCACGCCCCTCGGTGCCGATTGGCCCTGGCAGCGGGAGGCGGGCGCGGATTGGCGGCGCGGCGGGTGAATGAGTGAAGAGGGGCAGCGGCGGGACCCCGGTAGAGCGGCGCGAAGCGACAACCCCGCGGAGTGGTGTCCGGCCGCCGCCAGGCCTGTGCGAGCGAGGGAAAAGGGGTCACGGCGGGGCACAGAGCCCCGGGCACCGGCGGGGCGGGACCGGACCTGCGTGCGCCGGCCCGAGCCGGGCGCCTCCCGCGTCCCGGAGCGGCCCCGCCCGCGCGGCTGGCCTCCTGCCCGGCGCCGCCGCGCCGCGTCCTTCCTCACCGGGCAGCCGCGTCAGACCCCGGGGGACGCCGGCCGGGAGCGGAGCCTGACGCCGATCCCGCGGCGCCCGCAGCTGCCTCGGCCATGGGCACGCCGGCCTCGGTGGTGAGCGACCCTCCGGGGGGGGCAGCGCCCGCAGCCCGCGGCCGCAAGCGGGCCTCGGCCAACATCTTCCAGGGCGTGGGGCTGCCGGAGCTGCGGAGCCTGTTCCAGAACGGCGGGGCCGAGCGGCCCGAGGAGCGCGCCCGCCTCGTATGGCGGTACGGGGGCCAGCGGCGCATGGCGCGAGCCCTGCGGCGGCTCCGGCGGCGGCAACCGGCACAACCCGGCGGCGGGATGGCGCGGGCCCTGCGGCGCTTCGGCCACCTGCGGTAGGTGCGCACCGGGGCGGCGGGGAACAGGGGCGAGCACAGCGGGGCCGCGCCATTAACAGACGCCCCTTCCCCACAGGATCGCAGAGAAGGAGCCGGAGGTTCCGTGTAGCAGCACCGAGCTGGTGTACTGAGAAGGTGCAGGGCTGCTGGACAACGGGTGCCAGGACCTGTGAGGACACTAAGTGTACGGACAGGCTGCAATGGTTAATAAAAGGTGGACAGTGGTGGCTGCGTGAAGCTGGGCTGGGTCCCACAGTCCCCTCGCCTTTCCCCAGGGTGGCAGGGCCTTGGGCCAGGCTGTTGTACCAGTCCTGATGCAAGGAGACCAGCCCCGACCTGCTCTAGGGTGCTGCAGAGACACACAAGCATCCAGCTGAACGGCAGCTCTGTTATTCAGACGGTTGCATGGTTTAAATACATTACATACATTTCTACAGTGCATTAGAACAATACATTTTGGGTCAGTTGGAGATGCAGCTGGGCCTAGCCAGGAAGCTGGGGTCTTGCTGCTGCCCACCCTGTGCTTGCACAGCTATTGCTGAGCGCCCTCCCTGCACAGGAGCCAAGGGAGCTCTCCCCTCCCAGGCTCAAGCAGCAGATCCCCAACCTGCCTTCATTCTCCCCCAACACTCAAAGATGAGCTAGCAGGACACTGAGCCCCAACCCCAGCTTCCCCTGGCAGCAGGAGAAGCTGCAGCTCAAGGCAAGCAAATGCAGGCAGCAGCCCTGGTACTGTTCATACAACACGAGCTCAGCAGCTTCTGGGGAGTGAGGGGCACAGGGCGTCACCCCCACAGCAGGCCTGTGGGATTGTCAGCACCAGGACAACCAGGAGCACACCTTTTCCCCCTCCCCCATGCTCCCATCACACCTCCCTCCCATGTAGCAGAAAAGCCACGCTGGCCCTTCCCCAGAAGTCCCCTGCCCCTCGAGGGGGCCCTAGGCACAGACAAGGCTGGCACCATGCTGGCTGCACAGCAGCCAGAGAGCTTGCTGGGAGCAGGGGCAAAAGCCAAGCAAGAGCAGCTGTGGAGACCTGGCAGGAGGGATGGACCAGGGCAGCAAAAGGGGAGAAAGTGCTTGCACCCACCCTCAGCCCTCTCCAGCTGTGGAGGGTGGCTCAAAGCTACAGCCCCTCCCAGGACCACATGTTTCTCACAAGGACAAGTCAACACCTCTTTCCCCATAGTTTCTAACTGAACCCAAGCCAGCCCTGTGAGTTGTCCCTCATCCCTTCCCTCCTCGAGCCCCCAGCCAGAGAACAGCCGTTCGTTGTGGTCCCTACTGCGCCAGTGGGCAGCAGGAACTCCCCCTGAGGAAAGCAGCGTGCACAGGGTTGGGGCAGAGGAGGGACAGTGAAGTACAAGCACACCCTCAGGCCAAGGGAGGGGTGGACAACCTGCTACAGGCCTTCCAAGCCCAGCAGCCAGCACGGTGTGAAAGGGGCCAGTGGCTGGTGTGAAGGCCTGGATGGATACTGGTCCAGGCAGCCTGCTCATCCCAGCCCCAAGCAGGGGTGCTCAGAACAGCATGCAGGCCGAGGGAGGGGCAGGGTCCCAGCCACACCACAGCTCCCAGAGGATTCCCACTCCTTCCCCTGGGCTCTGCCCCAGACAGGGCACTGAGCTCCAAACGGAGCTGAGGAGGGACCATGCCCGACCTGCCTGGCTCCTCCAGTTCAGCTGCAGGTTCCTCCAGCCACACTCGACCCAGAAGGTCGAGTCCCAGCCACGGGAGCCAGCAGTGGCTCAGCTCCTCTCGCAATGCCAGTCCGAGGCAGCCAAGCCCTGTCTGTAGCTCCCATGGCTACCACCAGGAGAAGAAAGGCTTCCGACTTTGGAAGCTCTGCGTGTAGGACTCGCTGGCGGTGCGCTGGTGGGAACGCGCCGTTTCCACAATCACAGGCGGCATCTGAACCAGGTGCAGGGGGCTCTTCCCATCCTTCAGCGCTTGAGTCAGGTTCAGGATCTGTGCGGCACAACAGAGCAATGCCTGAGCTGCCCTGATGCAGCAACAGAGAGCATCCACCCCATCACCCTACCTGCCACACCGGCAGGACGAGGCTCTGTGCCTCACCCATCTGCATTCCCTACACACAGCTTACCTGGCCCCTCATGACTGCAATCTGCTTGTGAAACTGTCCCCTGTCAAAGCCAGGGTCTTTCTGCAAGAGAGAGCAGAGAACACAGTGAGATCCACCTGCTGCCTCAAGCCACGCAGGAGATGCCTATTTCCCAAGCAAGCCTCTCCTCTTGTCCCATGGGTTTTCTGCTTCTCCTCACACTGAACCCTCAGCTCCTGGCAGAGGGATAACCTGGCTATACCTCAGCTTATGAACAGTCAGGAGCCTGGCCACATTTCTGTCCTCTGCAGCCTTGACAGGGAGCTTCCCCATACCACCTCAGTTTTTCTTCCTTCCAAGCCATCTTCACCCACTCCCCAAGCTCACCTTGAAGAGCTCATACAGATCTTCCTCCAGGTCCTTGACAAAGTTGGGGTCTGAGATCTTGGGAAGAATCAGGTCCTTGATCTCCTGTGAAAAGGGGATTTTGGCCTGGGGCAACCATGCCCAGTAGAATGGATCTGTGGGAGTAAGCAGGAGACATTAGACCTGGAGAAAGGCAAAGGATGGTGCCACATGCCCCTAGGTGACAGATCACCTGCATCTGGGACACAGGGTCCAGTACCCGCTTTCTACAGCCCCTGCTGAGGCAGAGTCACCTGTGAACCCAGAAGGTTTGCAGAGAGACAGCCCTTCCCCTCTCCTCTCCAGCCCTTAAAGAAGATTCCTGAGCATGGAGTTCCATGGCTCACCAGGGTGCCCTGGCACAGCGTGAGGAACTCACATGCTCTCCAGGAGTCTGGGTGTTTCAAGGGAAAGGCCAAACCGTTGTCTATAGCAGCCAGCTTGATGATGGGCTCCTTCACCACCACCCAGTCACTGTCCTGAAAGGAAAAGGAGCAGGTCACAAGGACCACCCCGCAGCATGAACAGTCCCTCTCCCACTCAGAAACCCAAGCCAGCTGGAAATTCCCATCGCTCCTGCCCAGTAAGAGCCGCTCACCCGCACGCCTGCGCTGTCCAGGGGACAGTCGTACTTGATGAGCCAGTTGTCATTGCCCCGATCTGCAGGGAGATAGAACCAGCTGTGTCAGTGTCAGGGCCTATCTGCACCACACCAGGCAGAAAGTTACTCCTAACCCAGAAGTGAGACACACCAGTTTTAGGCCCAAACTGTACCTCAGAGCCCTGGAGCCTGCTGAAAGCCTGGGAAGCCACATGAACCCCCACACAACCAGTCCTGGAGACTGGAGAGGTCGATGTATCCCCAGCTCACAAAAGAGAGGTCAGCCTGCAAGCCCCAGGGTGCTCCCTCAACCTCTTCCAGCCTGCAGGAACTTGTAAACCCAGCATGAGATGGGATGCAAGGACACAGTCAGGTGCTGGATCTCCAGATGCCCCTGGATCCTCACAGCTGGCAAACTTCCACCCCAGTACAGTGGTGGCTCCAGATCTCCCAGAACACAGGCCAGCAGCCAAAGCATTTCCCAGGAAGGCAGTCACAGCAGCCACATTCTACCCAGAGGCTGCTGCCTGGAGGCAACTGCCAAGTGATGTCAAGAGGAAGTTTGGGTGCTGGGAGGAGATGCCAAGCCCCTGCCTCCATCCCCTTTCTCCACCTGGCAGGACATGAAGGAGCAGTGTCCCAGGCCAGGCAGCATCCCTACCTGTGTTCCTGATGATATAGTCCAGTACCACAAGCCGCTCAAACTGCAGCAGCAGCTGCCGGTTGGTGTTCTCCGGGAGTGGCTCAGCTTCGAACCGCCGCAGCCAGTAGTCAGCATCCTTGTAGCCTTCCACAAAGAGCTGAAAGGAGCCCACCTGAAGAAAGGAGAGGCTGTGTTACAGGAGGCCACAGGGCATGGAGAAGCAGTGACAGACGGGCATGGAGGCCAGTGCCATACCTTGGGTGGCAAACCAATGCGGTTGAAGCGCTGGCCGACTTTCGGCACCTTCTCCAGGGCCAGCCTCTTACCCCGGGACTTCACCCTGTCGATGGCACTGTAGTTAAAGGTCTCGCTGGCCAGATACACCACCTGGGGGGAGAGGAGTCCAGATGTCAGCAAGGGCAATTGTCACTGGTCTGGCTGATAAAGCCAAGACACAGCATTTCCCACTGCTCTGCCCAGAACAAGGATCCCACAGCTTGGCAGTCCCAGTCCAGAGCTCCCAACACACCTGCGAGATCAGCAGTGCCACAAGCCAAGGTGCAAGCAGAACTGTGCAGAAGCACACGAAAGCCTCCCCGAGACAAGAGTTTCATATCCCCTCACCTTTGTGCGGGGAACAATGTTGAGTTCCAGTTTCTGGTCCACCAGGCTGGCACCCGCCTCCGACAGGTAACCCTGGTTGAGGACGAGGCAATCTCTCCCAAAGCAGCATGGGCAGCACAACTTCTGCAGCCACTTGGTCCACTTGGGGTTCAGCTGCCCATAGGGTTCCTCATTCTTGGGCTTGAAGACACCAATGATTTTCTGTGAGGAGGAGAGGGGAGAGCTGACTCAAGGTAGTTGGCAGAGGCAGGACATTCCCCCCATCAAGCCAGCCAACAGTGGGGACACTCAGACTGTGCATTCACCAGGGAAATGACCAGCTCCTGGGACCAGGCAGACCCCCACAGCTCCAACGAGGGACCCTTCCTCAGGCAGTGCCCCATCCGATGAGAGCAGGGTGCTGCCCAAAGACCTTCATACCTGGCTCATGTATCTGGAAAAACCCTCCTTTGTCCCAGAAGATATCAGTGATAATGCTGTTCCCTGGTAAACATCCCAGTGACCTTTGGATGGCTGGGGAGACCTACTGCTCACTCCTGCTCATTATGTCCATGCAGGAGAAGGAGGGGGATATTGGTCCCTGCTCTGTCTCCAAAATCCACTGAACAGAGCTGATCCCAAACTGACTGGAGCAAAAGGGACCAGAACACCTCAGCAAGAGACCTCAGTGCAATCCCAGTCTACCAAGCACCAGAAGCCAGGCAATGGCAGGCAGGAACATTTTGTCCACCAGGAAGAGGAAGGGTTTGAAGGAAGAGGGCCACTTCAGACATCCCCTGATCACATGGAGAAGCCACTTTCCCTGAGCAGGCAGGAAAGCAACCCCCTCATCAGCTACATGTGAAGGCACACAACTGCCAACATGTCCTTGGATATGAGCCTGCAAAAAGCTTGTTGGGAGCTCTGGCAGCACCGGAGCCCTGTGCTCCATAGAGCCAAGTCCAGTAGAGCAAGGCCCAGCCAGCCATGGACAGTATAAAGGTGGAGGCCAGAGGCCTAGCAGCACAGCATCCCCTTCCAGACAGTCCTGTGCCAAGAGCAGCACTGGCAGGCAAAACAGGTCTGCCCTGGCACCAGCAGCAAGGCAGAGGGAGCCAGACCAGCCCAGAGGTAACCACATGCATCAGGGCTGGGGAGGAACATCGTAGCTGGTACAGCTCAGAAGCTGAGAGGAAAGCATACACAAGAGAGAAGTTCTCACCCCACCAGTGGCCTCACCCCTGCCCACAACAACAGCGCACTGCACTCTCTCATGCCAGCAGCAGGGAAGCTCTGGTGACTCTGGGCAGCAGCCACAGAAACCAGCTACGCATCACGTTCACTGACAGCAGGGCAGCCCAGGGACCTGCCAGGTGATATGGCCAGGAGGACAGAGACTTTGGCTCCCCACACACTCCCTCCACCAGCCCTCACCAAGTTCATGTCTCCTATAGCTAGGCAAGCCCCTGTGCTGCTCATCCAGCCCCCACCCCAGAGATGTCACATCTCATATTGGGCAACGGGAAGGAGTAGGAGGGTGGTGGGAGGAAGTGTGCATTGCCCTGGCTCAGCTGGGGCTGCCTGCCACTGCTCTGAGGAGCCAGGCTCCACCCAGAGCAGAAAAACTGGGGCACACCAGAGACCGGGGAGCCCAATCCTGCTCCCCAGGAAGCATCCCAGCACACATGCAGCCAGGAAGTCACAGGAAGCAGCAACAGCTCAAGTAATTGTGTTGGGTGCTGCAGGTCACAAGACAAGCCATCCCGTGCTGCACACACATCCAGTGGGTGGCATGGAGACGGTTGCCATGTAGCTGCCAAGACCTACAGGGGACCAGCTATAATTTGAGGACTTTGCCTTGATTATATCAACCACACAGCCCTAGGGCTGGAGTCACCACGGTCATGAGATGCTGATGCACGGGCCTGGGGCAGCGGGTCACCCTCCTTGGGTACAAGAGCCACAGAAGAGGCTGAAGCAGCGCTCGAGCCCAGCTGCCCCCACTCCTGCTGCTGGTCCCACCACGCTTCTCCCCTGGGCAGCTCCAGCCGCTCCTAGGAGCCCGGCCACGCCGGGGCCGGCACCCGCATCTCCCCTGGGGGCGCCCCTCTCCCAGCCAGCACCGCTCCTCAGCCCGCTGGCCTCGGGGGCCGGCTCACCCCCTGCGGGTCCTTGACGAAGTAGCTGCCACTGGAGCCCTGCGAGATGCGCTCGGGGAAGATGCCGCGCTCGCTGGCCAGCTCGGCGCACCGCACCACCTCCGCGAACTCGGGGTCCTCGGGGAAATCATTGCGCTCCCGCTGCGCCGCCGCCGCCGCCGCCTGGGCCTGAGCCTGCGCTGCCGCTTGGGCCTGCGCCTGGGCCTGCGCCGCCGCCGGGCCCCGCGCCCCTCGCTCCAGCAGCGGCTGCCGCTCTCGGTCGCGGCCTCCGGGGGAGCCGGGAGGGGAAGGCGGCGGTGGGGGAGCGGCGGGCGGGAGGGTGCGCACGGCCGCCCCCGGCAGCCCGTAGTCGGGGGCCTGAGCCCGCTCCGGAGACACCAGCGGGCTCGTCTCGTCCATCGCACCCGCCCGGCCCGGCCTCGCCGCGACACCCGCGCCTGCAGCTTCCGCTCACGTCACCGCGCCCCAGGGGCTGCTCCGCCCCCCGCCACGCCCACACCGGGCGTCACCGTGCTAGCCGCGCCCGCCGCGGGGCCGGCTGCGGCAACGGTACCGGATGGGGCGGGCAGGGAGCCCCCCGCGCTTGGCTCTTGGGGTATGCTGGCCCCACGGCCCCACCGCAGGGGGCCGGCTCCCGTGCCCCACACAAAGATGGCCGCCCGGAGCGACAACGCCCTCCACTGCCCTTCACAAAGATGACGGCAGGGCAGGGCGCTGCCCCTCTGCTGACACGCCCAGAGAGGAGACCGCTTTGCCCCACACAAAGATGGCTGCCGGCAAGGGCGTGCTGCGAAGATGGCCAATGAGCAGCCGCGTTGCTAGAGGTTGCCGTGGAGACAGCCAACGGCGGGCGGGGATGGACGCCGGTGGCGTGGCAACGTCCTGCGGGGCAGGGAGCTGGCAGGGGAGGTGGTCGTGCCACCGCCCCTCGGCGGGACCCCGGTGGGCAGCGGTGCGGGCGGCGAGCGTGTAGCCAGGTGAGCGCGGGTCCCTGCGCGACCGGCCCGTCCGCACCGCCCCTCGGCACTCAGCAGGGCACGGCTGGTCCCGGTGGGGCGTGCGTGCACCGCCCGTGGGTGCACCAGCCCTGGGTGCATGGACACAGCGGGGTGTGGGTGCATCAGCCCTGGGTGCATGGACACAGCGGGGTGTGGGTGCATCAGCCCTGGGTGCATGGACACGGCGGGGTGTGGGTGCATCAGCCCTGGGTGCATGGACAGAGCGGGGTGTGGGTGCATCAGCCCTGGGTGCATGGGGTGTGGGTGCATCAGCTCTGGGTGCATGGACAGAGCGGGGTGTGAGTGCATCAGCTCTGGGTGCATGGGGTGTGGGTGCACCAGCCCTGGGTGGCAATGTGGGCACATGCAGCTGAGCAGCCTGGGTTGCCTAGGGGCAGATTCTGCCCATGCCCTGGATGAAGTCGCCGGTCCAGGCACAGGCCATGCTGGTGGTGGGAGCCCTCCCTTGCCGCAGACATTAACAGCCCCCAGCACCCCCAACCTCTCCTGCTCCTGTCCCCCGTTGGAGGCACCCCCGGAGGCGCTGGGCAGGCTGGGGAGCTGGCGCTGAGCTCCTGATCTCTGCCATCAGCAGGGAGCACTGTTCAGTCGCTGCTCGCCTTGGCTGGGGGCCATTTCTGCTCCGGGCGCAAAGCACTTGCCAGCTCCCTGCTGTGCTCCCAGGTGCCGTGTCCAGCTGGTTAGCGTGGCTCATCACCCATCTCCAGAGACGTGCAGCCGCATGTGAGCAGGGATACCCCCTTTGGAAGTGGTGAGCCCCTTCCCGTCACAGGAGCCGCCGGAGAGGCAGCTCCCAGCCCACCTGCGGGGCTGTCTCCTTGCTGGTGCATTCCCTGTGCACTGGGCAGAGCTGTGCTGTGTGACAGCAGCTCCGGGGGTGTGCAGACCTTCGGGGGCTGCTTGCTGCCAGCAGGGAGGTTTGCAAACCCTGTGGTAGCCAAACAAGTCCCTGGAACCTCTGAGTCCTCTCTCTGCCATCCCTCGTAGGAGGAGTAGCTGCTCCATCCCAGAGGGTGAGCCAGATCTGGATTTAAGCTGCAAGAGAGTAGATTTGGATTAGGTATTAGGTAAAATTCTTTACTGTGAGGGTGCTGAGGCACTGGCACAGGGTGCCCAGAGAAGCTGTGGATTCCCCATCCCTGGCAGTGTTCAAGGCCAAGTTGGATGAGGCTTTGGGCAACCTGGTCTGGTGGAAGGTGTCCCTGCCCATGGCAGGGGGTTGGAACTGGATGAGCTTTAAGGTCCCTTCCAACCCAAACCATTCTATGATCTGCCCATCTTTGACACTGGAGCTGGAAACTGCACAAGCTCTCTGCTCTCTCCCTTGAAGAGCCAGTACCAAGCATAATCTGACAAGCACCAAAATGCCTGTTTCTCCCTGGGACTGTCCCAGCAGAGCTGAGAGCAGCCACTGGCCTGAGCCTGCTGCAGTACAGGACCCTTGGGTCCTGCCAGGGAGCTGTGCTGGATGCATCCAACTCCTGCCACGCTCCTCTGCTGCCACTCGCTCACATTTCACTGGGCTGTGACCCCCATGGGTTCACATCGCCCTGAGCCCTGCCATGGGGCAGACAGCAACCTGAACCCGGCAGCTGGGGTTTCAGAGGCAGGGCAGGGCGGCTGTGTCCTGGGGTCACCTCCTCATCTGTGGTCTGCCCTGCGGCACAAACGCACCTCTCTGCGAGCCGAGGGGATGCAGGGGCTCTGTGTAAGCCGGCGTTCTCCCCCTGCCCAGCTGCCACCCTCCGCACCTCTCCCTGCCAGCTCTTGCCCTGCGCTGCTGGAGGCTGTCACCATGACCCTCACCAAAGGCTCCTTCACCTACTCCAACGGGGAGGAGTACCGCGGCGAGTGGAAGGAAGGTGAGACGGGGCAGGAGGGGATGGTGCTGCCTGGGCTGGGGGCCAAGCAGCCCCTATGTCCTTGCCCAGCACCACACTGGGGCAGGTCCTGCTTCCATCCATCCTGCACTGCCCATTTCTGCCCTCGCCCCAGGTCGCAGGCACGGTGTTGGGCAGCTGACATTTGCTGATGGCACCGCTTACGTGGGGCATTTTGAGAACGGGCTGTTCCACGGCTGCGGCGTGCTCACCTTCTCTGACGGCTCCAGGTAAGCCCTGCGTACACCCCTGTGGGCATCCGCCCTTGCCACGGGGAGCTGCTGCCTCAGGGGCAACTCTCACACAGGTACGAGGGGGAGTTCGTGCAGGGCAAGTTCAACGGCGTCGGCGTCTTCACCCGCTGCGACAACATGACTTTTGAGGGCGAGTTCAAAGGCGGGCGGGTGTATGGCTTCGGTGAGTGCCCAGCTCAGCATGGCCCCATCCAGCATCTCCCATTCTGTCCCTCTGGCCCCAGTGGGTGCTCTCTGCCCCTTCACTCCCAGCCCTTCCTTCCCTTCCCCAGGTCTCCTGACCTTCCCCGATGGCTCCCACGGCGTGCCCCGCAATGAGGGCTTCTTTGAGAACAACAAGCTGCTGCGGCGGGAGAAGTGCCCGGCTGTCATCCAGAGGGCCCAGGGTGCCTCCAAGTCTGCCCACAACCTGACAGCATGACGGTGCCCCCCATCCCCTCCCACTGCAGAGGGACCCCCAGACTGGGCATCGGCTGGCCCTGCCGTCCCCAGAGCAGGGATGTGGCACTGCTGGGTGCCCCCTTGCCCTCTGTCTCTACCAAGCCCCCCTGCCGAACCCCCGTGGCTAGAGGGAGACCCCTCCACCCAAGTGCCCCAGGGCAGCCATGGTGCCTTCTCTCTCTGGCTATAGCCCTGGCACCTGCTGGAGCAGCACGGGACAGGGTGGCTAGGGCTCGGCTCCTCTGCCCCCAGGAAGACTGTGGAGCATGGGGCTGCTGGCCTGCTGCAGAGGATGGAGCAGGGGTGTAGGGCTGAGCCCTGACCCCACTGCCAGGGTGCCTTGGCTGGGAGCTGCTGGCTGGACCACGTGCTCACAGAGAGGCAGCTCCTGGTCCACTTCACTACCCTGGTTTTGAGGCAGGGTGGGCACCATGTGGCCTGTGCCTGTTCTAGGTGGCCACTTGCCTGGGCAGGGTGACATGGTGCCCCAAAGGACCCGGGGGTCCTGCTCTTGGGGCCAGGCGACGGGCTGTCCCCCATTCATCCCTGTGCCTTGGGTACATCTGCAGCAGTATCCCCAAGAGGGAGGATCGGGGAACACCCAGCCTGGCCATGTCTGCTGCACACTGGGTGTGAGGAAGGAGCAGGGTCCAACAGAGCCTGGGTTGAGGGGCATGAACAGGCCTGGTGTAGGGTGCCAGGGCTGGAGCAGGGCTGGGCAGGGCGGGTGGAGATAGGGGCATGGCGAAGGGGCAGGCAGGGTGGGCAGGGAGCATGCAGCTCCCCATCTTGCTGCCTGCATGCATCCTCCATCTCCCCCTGCATGCTCACCCTTGCCCCAGTGTGGTCTGGCCATGGTGCAGGGGTCCCGGCAGCCCTCGTAGCCCGCTGCTGGGCTGCAGGGGCCCTGCCTTCCCTGCCAGTCTCTGCCCACATCGGTCCCGTGCCTTGCCGTGACCCTGCCTTGTGCTGCTGCCTGCTCAGGCCTCAGCTGAGTAAACCATGTTGCCAAACGCGCAGGCTGCGTCCTCTTTGCTGGGAGCAGGGGCTGGGGTGGGGGGCTGCTTGCATGGGCAGGACAGCACACACAGATACGGGGCAGCAGGTTTATTCCTGGCTCATGGTGCAAGGATCCATCCCTTCCCAGGTGGGGATGGTGGGACCCTGAGGACTGGCAGGTGTGCAAGGGTGGCCAGAGGGTGCTGGGTGTCCCCCCTCTACCCACCCTGCCCAGCAGGAAGGAGTGACATGGGTGGCTTTCTCTTGGCCATGTCCCAGTGTCCCCACCACATCCCCAGCTCCTGGGGTCCCTGGCTCGTGCGCCTTCTCAGCGCAGGAAGGGGCAGGGGTTACCCCTCACAACCAGCCATTTGCACTGAAGGTACCCCTCAGCTCCTCAACCTGAGGGGGGCTCAGCGGAGCCAGGGGTGCGCGGCAGGGACCCCCGTAGTAGCCAAACCACTCCATGGCCTTCTTCAGCCCTGGGATCCCAAATCGCCGGGTGACCTGCGGGAGGGAGGGTGCAGGGGCTGGCTGGCACTCTTGGGACAGGGCAACGTGCTCATGGGTCCTGCTCCTGCTGACCCTGCTCCTTGCTCGCTATCACTCCTGCTCTCCCCATGGGGGTCTGCAAGGCTGGGGAGCATCCCTGTGGCACGGGCAGGCTCTTTGCAGCAGGCATGGGCCACATGTAGTGGGGTGGAGGACCTTGGGAGGAGTAGCTTTTCTCATCATTTTCTATAAATAGCCAACAAGACTCCCACAGGGGTCAGGTAGGTGCCTGCTGCCAGTGGACATGCTGTTCCTGGCATGGCAGGGCTGGCATTTCCCACCACGCCACATCCAGCATGCCTTGGCATGCCAACTGGGTGCTGTCCCCCCAGACCCCAGCCCCAGGGACCTCCATCATTTTCTGCCCCCGGGCTATGCCATATCCTGGCACTCCTCAGCATCCTGACTGCTCACCGCTGTGTTGGGCTCAATGAGCCTGTGTTGCAGCTCACGGGCCTCCTGCCAGTGGCCCTCGCGGCACAGGCGGTCAAGCTGGCACAGCGGGGCCCCCAGGACATTGGCGAGGGCGCAGACCCCCCCAGAGGCACCTGGGGACATCAGGGTACATTAGCAGTCAGCTTGGCATGCCATGCCAGCCAGCACTGACCTGCCATAGCTGCCCACGGCCTGCCTCCCCCTTCCTGCCCGGCTGCCAGACCCCACCAGTGTCCCCGTTGCAGCCCCCTGTGCCCCACACTGGGCAGGGGCAGCAGCACCTACCCAGGGCATAGCTGGCCAGCAGGAAGCCAGCTGATCCTGCCAGCACCTGGAAATCCTCCTGCCGTGTCTTGTGGACCATCAGCCCGATGCGGGTGATCTGGGGAGAGACACGCTGTGCCCTGGGCCAGCATCACCCTCACCCATCACTGCAGGGCTCCTGCTGGCACCCTCAGCTCCCTGTTCCCAGCTTGGGGCCAGGTTTGGTGGCAGCCAGCCCCAGGACAGCCCTGCCCCACTCACATCCCCACCGCTGTCCTTGATCCCAAGGATGTTGGGGTGCTGAGCCAGAGTGACCACAGCCTCCAGGGGTAGGTCCAGGCCGGTGTTGGCAGGGACACTGTAGAGCACCACGGGGATGGGGGATGCGTCGGCAACCTGCAGGCAGCCAGGCCATGCTCAGCGCCTGGGGTGGGCTGGAGATGTGCAGGATACGCTCCCAATCCTGATGCTCCAGCTCATGCTGCTGGCAGGTCCTGGCTCACCTCCGTGTAGTGCTGGACCAGGGCAGCACTGGTCATGGCTCCCCGGTAGTAGCAAGGTGTCACGACCAGCGCCACATCAGCCCCTGCCTCTGCCATGCTGAGGGTCAGCTGGACAGTGGCCTGGGTGGCTGGGGAGGAGGCAGAGAGGTTAGGGCTGCCCTGGGAGGCACACACAGCCCCGCACAGCCCACAGCAGCACTCACATTCGCAGCCCGAACCGGCCAGCAGCAGGCGGTCCCTGGGCAGAGCCCGGCGCGCGCAGCTCACCACCTCCAGCCGCTCCTGGGGTGCCAGGTAGGGGTACTCCCCGTTGGAGCCCAGCACCACCAGCCCTGAGACACAGGTATAGGGAGGGCAGAGCATGCTGTGTGTGCACTCTGTTGAGCACGCTGCCTGCCTGCCTCCATCCCCAGCCACTGCCACATACAGCACTGCTAGCAAGACATTTATTGGTGCCCACAGCCACACTGTGCTGCTCTGCTCCAGGTTGTGGCACACAGACCCCTTCCTTGGGACCCTGCCAGCGCCATGGACACATGAAGGCTTCAAGGGAGCTGGGAATGACGGGTGCTCCTATCACCCTCCCTCCCCTCCTCACTGCTGTGCACCCAGGCAAGGCTCTGCAACCCACAGTGTGCCCTCTCCTGTGTCCGTTCCCACAGCACTGGGCTCACAACCTGATCAGAAGAGGGGAGAACCCCGGGGTACATGCCTGCGACGCCCAGACTGTTACTGCAGCCCCCCTTATCTACCCATCCTCACCAATCAACAGATACGCATCCCATGGCACAGAATCAGCATGGGTGTGCACAGGTGTGCAAGCACACCTATGGGGCAGAGGGTAGATGCAAGCCTACAGCTATGTGTGGAGGGTGTGTGCAAGCATGCACTGGTGCGTGGTAGTGTGCAAGGACACACACGTGTGCCTGGGCATGTGCCATGCAAAGGACCCTAGGTGGGTACCCGAGGAGCTGCCCACTCCAGAGCGAAGTCCAGCTGGAGGCTGAGCATCCTCTGGAAGCCGGCGGGCTGCCCGCACGCTGCCACACAGCCCCTGCCACATGAGCCTGCACAGAGAGGGGCAGCGCTTACCTCGGAAGGGCATGCTGGCGTAGCGGCGCAGGTTCCCCTCCAGCCGGGCATAGTCCACCTCCTGCATGGGTGAGAACGGGGTGGCGAGGGGCGGGAAGATGCCGCCAAGGTCCAGCGTGCGCCCCGGTCCCTGCTGGGTGCTGTGCTGCCGGTGCTGCCCCGGGGCTGTCCAGCGCAGAGCTGCCAGCACAGGACGGAGGGGAGAGGCGAGGCGGGTGCTGAGCGCCATGGTGGCTGGTGCTGCTGCCGGCCCTGCTGAGGGGCTGTTAATGTTTGATTGGGCACGTGAGGGACCCGTAACCCGGATGGGCAGATGACATGGGGGGCGGTACAGGGTGAGCTCAAGATGCTCTCACCCACTCCAGGGGCTGGCCACAGGAGCTCAGCACCCTGCCGGGTGAGCCCTGGCTACCCCAGCTCTGCTTTCCCTTCTGCTTGCCAGTCCCGGCAGCCATCCCTCTGCAACCTATGGGGCTGGGCTGCAGAGCCGGGGGGGAATCAGACACTGCAGGAGTCCAGGGGCTGTGGGCAGGGTTTCCCTGCCCTGGGTGTTGGTGTGGGGCCTCCTGTAAATGAGAGAGCAGGAGTGTTTCTACATTGGGAGCCCTGAGCACCGCACTTGGCATGAGTGACCCAGCCTGCAAAGGGATCACTGTGTCCACCTGGAGATGGTGCCAGCAGAGAAGGCAGGAGATCAGGCAGTCATCCAGCCTCATGGAGTGGCTGCCCGGCAGGGGGTATGACTGCTGCTCTCTGGTGCAGTGCCAGCCTCCATCACAGTGTAGACCCATCCTGTGCTTCCCAGGATGTAGCGCTCCTCGCTGAGCTTGCCCAAGTGAGACTTTGAACCACTGTGAGCAAGCAGGGCTTCCTGCAGCAAGGAATCGCACCATTGAACCAATTGTGTCCTGGCCCCATGTTGTCCTTGTCCTAGGAGACAGGGCACTTACATGCTGCTGGATAAGCAGCTCCCCAGTAACCCAGCTTCCCCAGCCCCATGGAGACAAACGCTGCTCTTTGCTGGCTTTTATTGACACGGACAAGTCTCGGCTGGATCCTGCTCCTTGGAGCCCAGCCCGGTCCCTGGTCCCTGCCTGGCGCTGTCAGGCAGGAACCTCCATCCCATCCTGTGGCTGCTCCTTGGTCTCTAGTGCCTGGCGTGTGTCCACCTGCCACTGCTGCACCAGGTCCGTTGGGGTCTTGCCAGCCTGCGGAGCAGGCAGAGAGACGCTGGAGTCAGGGTGGTGTGACATGGTGGGGCAGCAAACAGCCCTGGTGCTGGTTCCCTGCTCACCTGGTTCTTAGCCATCATGTCAGCCCCGTGCAGGAGCAGCATTTTGATGATCTTGTAGCGGCTGAGCCGTGTGGCGTCGTGCAGCGCCGTGTCGCCTTCCTGAGAGAGATGTAGCCTGGCTGGGGATCGTGGTCCAGCACCAGGGACACCCTGCCTAGTCCCAGCCCCAGCACACCCACCTCCCCATGAGGACAGGGAGGAGGATGGTGCTAGCCCTGGCTGCGGCTGCCAGCACCCCAGGGGGAGGATGTGTGTGTCCAGACGTGCCCCACTGGTGCTGGCAGCTCCTGGAGGGGTCAGCCAAGGGAGGAGGGATCAGTGTTGCCCCCTTAGTGCTGGCTGCATGGCTGCAGCACTTACCCTGTCTGGGGAATTGATGTCTACCCCACAGTGGATGAGGTGCTCCACGATGTCAGGGTGCCCGGTCCGGGTGGCCACGTGGAGGGGGGTGCTGAGCAGCTTGAGAAGGGAAGAAGATGGACACCAGAGAGGATCAGCACCCACCCCTGCTAACCCAACACTTCATTCCCCAGAGCATGCCCGTACCCCTGGCACAGCCCTGCGCACCTTGTCCTTCAAGTTGAGGTCTGCCCCGCGGTCCTGCAGCAGCTTCACAGCGTCCAGGTGCCCACCCCGGCAGGCCCAGTGCACAGCGGTGCAGTCCAGCTGGGTGCACAGAGCCATGGTGAGGGATACCCCCACCCTGTGCCTGTGCCCCCCACCCAGCCGGTCCCTGTGTCAGGGCTGAGTCCTGTGAGACCCCTGCCGACCACCACTTCGGGACAGAGGACCCCACCCCTGCCGTTTCTCTGGCTGTGCCAAGTCCGGAGGCTTAAACCATCCCAGAGCCAGGGGCAGGATCCCCCTCACCCGGTCCCTGAAGTCAACAGTGGCCCCGCTGTCCAGCAGCTTCTGCAGGATGTCCGTGTGTCCCTCCAGCGAGGAGCGGTGCAGGGCCGTGCGGTGGAACTGCGGGGACGAGGCACCGCGTTGGTGATGGATCCATCCTCCCCGGCCCACCCCAGCCATGCCCCAAAAGCCCCATCCCACCCTGCCACAGGGGGGCACAGTGTGGGGTGGCCGGTGGCCCATAGGGAATACTACCTCATCACACGTGTTGGGGGAGCCACCGTCTGCCAGGAACTTCTCGATGATGTGCATCTTGCCCTGGACTGCGGCTCGCAGGAAGGTCTCTGGCTCCACGGGACCCTCCTGGCAAAGGGACAGGCTCAGGGCTGGGGCACCGTGCGGGCACAGGAGAGGGGACACCTCGGGGGAGGTGGCCATCTGGCAGGGTGACCCGGGAGCTGGCCCTTGGGCGCTCCAGCCCCGAACCCCGTAGCCACCCTCCCATCCCCCGGGACCCCCTGACCTACGATCTCTAAGGACTCCGGCGGCGGGGGGGGCTCGGGTGTGGCCGCCCGCTCCTCCCGGCGCTGCCGGCGCTGCTTGCGGAGCTCGATGAGGCGCTGGATGCTGCCCACATCAATGATCTCCCGCCGCAGGTCCACTGAGCTCTTCCGCACCCGCTCCTGGCCCTGCAGAGGACCCACAGTTTGCCTTCATTGTGCCCAGGCATCCACACCCCCCCCCCCCCGGGCCCAAACCCTGCCCCCCTCACCTTTATGGCCTCGAGGCCCCGGTTCCTGGGGCCATGGCGTTTCTCCTCCTCCAGCTCAGGGGTGTTCATCCGCTCCACAGCTGGTAGCTCCCGCGCGCCATCGCATTTGTGCTGCTGCATGGGCATGGAGGTGCTGCATGGTCCTGGCTGTGCACGGGGCAGCCCCACCACCTCTGTCCTCAGCCCACCAGTGGAGGTGGCTCTGGGCACAGCTACTGCTTGCTACTGAGGTCTAAAGGATGCCCAGAAGCCTTTGGGTTTGTGCTACTTGGCAAGCTGGGCACCTGCCTGGTTCTCAGCTCTGCCCCACAGGCAAGAGCTCTTGGGATGGGAACCTGCAGCCCCTGAGAGCCCTTGCCCACTTTGCTGCACCCCACAGGATGGCAGGGTCAGTGCCAGCCTCCTCACCTCTGAGTCCCTAAGGATGGACACAGCAAAAGGTGGGTCTCTGCCACAGCCCAGGCAGGTCCCCCTGCCCTATGGACCCACCTTCTCCTTCTCCTCTTCCTCCTCCTCTGCCAGCTTCTGCTCGATGAGCTCCTTGGCCCGTTGCACTTCCAGCTCCATGTCTGCCAGCAGTGCACAGCCCTGTGTGGGATGCAGCCTCTGCTCCTCACCCCCACAGGCAGAGAACCCCCAGCCCTGGTTCCCAGCAGCTCCGCTGGCCACGACGCTTTATGCCTCCGGCCCCTCCGTTCCACAGCCCAAGATCACCAACAGCTGTGGCTGCTCCACATGACTGGGGCAGCTTTGCCATGAGCTCACCCTCCTGCTTTCTGGTGGCCCTGGCTCACCTCCACAGCCCTGAACCCTCTTAAAGAGACCCAGTGCACCCCCATCCCACTGCCAGGGACCCCCGTGGTGGCTGCAGGGAGCTGGGGTGCACACAGCCCACAGCAGGCAGACAGAGATACTCAGTGGAGCAGGGACACAGTATGCGGTTGCAACATGGGTCCTGTGTCTGGGCAGCCAGGATGCTCCCCATGGCTCCCATCACCACACAACCTGATGCTGCAGCACCCACCTGCATCACTTGAGGCTCCCTGGCATCTGGGCAGGGAGTTGCTGCCCACCCCAGAGGGAGGCAAAGGGGCCCCCTCAAACATCCCAGCCAGCAGACAGCACATGTGCCAGGAGCCACAGCCGCTCTGCTGTGCAGGTTTGGAGGATGACCTCAGGTGTGGAACGTTCCGAGCAGCCCTGCCAGGGTCCTGGTGCTTGCCCAGCCTCCCTTGCCACACAAGGGCAGCCTGGCAGCAGGACCAGCCTCACGTGGGGCCGGCAGGCAGAGCCGGCAGCTATTCCCGGCAGTGAGGACATTGTTCAGCTCCCCTGGGCTTTGCTCTCCTCTGTAAGATGAGGCCGGTGCTGCCCTGTGCAGGAACAGTTAATGCGCTGGGCACAGCCCCCAGCACAAGACCTGCATGAATGACAAATGGGGACACATCACTGTCACCCTTCTGGGTAGTTCCCAGGGCCACCCTTGGGAGCCCTGACCCATTGGTGCCACAGCCTCCAGCTGCAGAAAGGCACCGTTTTCATCAGGACAGGCAATGGTGGCCACAAAGGTGGTCTTGGGACCATCCCCCTTCATGGACTGGCCCCAGGGCAGACACAGGCTGAAACCTCCAGAGGGGAAGCACTGAGAGGAAGGGGATGGTCCCACACCAGCAACCAGCCAGGATGGCAAAGGGATAAGGCTGGCAGTACTGGGAAAGGGCCCAGGCAGGCAAAGAGCTGGGGCTGGCAGGATGGGGTGAGGGTGGCCCAGGGAGATGGGGTGCCTGGGCTCTCCTTGTGCCCATCCTGACATGCAAGCAGATGCAGATGAGGCACAGGGACCTCCCACGGCTGCAGGTGACAGCCCCCCACACCTGCCCCGGGGGCCAGAGGAAGGATGAAAAGGCTTTATTGATAAATACAGACTATGTACAGAGGGGAGACATCTCCACACAGCCCAGCACCCCGGGGCCTCCTGGCCAGGGTAAGCTGAAGCCCAGCAGGTCACAGCCTCTCCCCACCAGCACAGCACAGCACAGCCCAGCCCAGTAGTAGGGCCCTGGCCGTGCTGACCACCCCAGACACATTTGGTCTCAAACCTCCTGCAGCAAACACAGTGCATGCCCATACCCCCAGCCAAGAGGGACCACCATGGTGGCACAGCCCCATGGAGACCTTCCTGGGGAGGGGGGTCACCCGAGTGGGGGGCGGTCACCCGAGTGGGGGGCAGGGTCTGCCCCAGCTCGGGCAGGGCTGAGACATGGCCTGGGGCATCCCCAGTGGTGCCGCTGCCCCCAGCTCCCTGCCCTCGCCCCACAACCAGTGTGGGGTAGCTCAGTTCCTGGGTGGCAGGGGCTGGTTGACGATCACTTGCACAACAAAATCCTTCTGGATCTTGGTCTCCTGCAGCCGTGTGCGGTCGGTGAGCAGCTTGCCTGAGAAGAACCAGCGCTGCCAGGCCATGTCGATGCCCTCCTGTGCCTGCAGCTGCTTCTTCAGCTGCCCGATGGTGTCGCCCATGCTGGCACTGAGCCGCAGGTCCTTGCCCGTGGACAGCCGCACCTTGAGGGCGAACTCCCGCCGGGCATTGGGCTGGGGCTCAGCCGGCTCTGATGCCTCCTCCTCGCTCCGCTCCAGGATCAGGTTGACAGGAGGTGACAGGCAGTAGACAGGCAGCTGGTATCGGTTGCCCAGCTCATCGTAGCACTCCGTCAGGGACCCTGTGGATGGCAGGGGACATGCTGTGGGTTGGCATCCCCATGGACCACCCCAGCGGGGACAGGGCCACCCCAGGGAGTGGGGCAGAGCTCCCCTTGGCTGAGCTGAGCTGCATGGATGGCTGTTGGGAACCCCTCTCCTCCCCCATGTGGGACCCCCATGTGCCCAGATATAGGGCACTCAGGAAACACACCCCACCCCACTGGTGTCATCCCTCACCGTGGGGCAGGGTGATGCTGGCTCCATCGAGGATGGCCTGAGCCAGGCTGTGGTCGTTGGCCTCCACGGCGTAGGCAGCTGCCTTCAGAGCATCCCAGATCTCCTTGCGGCCCTCGAAGGCAGGTGCCGTGTCCCAGAACTCGTCCCGTTTGCTGCGCAGCTGCCCATCCGTCATGGGGTAGTCGCTTTTCCACTTGGGACACTCCTTCTTCAGGGGCTCATTGCGGCCTGGAGAGGGGAGGATACTCAGCCAAGGGATGAAGCTCCCCACTTGGGCCCTGAGCCCCCACCTCCCCATTCCTACAGGTTCCTGGGGACCCCTTGCACCATGCACAGCAGTGTCCAAGGGGGTGCCCTGCCCAGCACAGCTAGGGGGACTCAGCTAGAGCTAGCTCTAGCCCTGCCCAATGTCCTACTGACCCCATAGCAGCTGCCCCCCAAAGTGACATCACTTGTCCCCAGGAGGGACAAGGGCTCTTGCCCATATGCCTGGAGGAGCAGCACCTGCCCTGTGGGGTGGCCACAAGGCCTCAGGGCCCTCTGAGGCAGAGCAGTATTTATAGCTTGGGGAATTAGCCAGGGAATAAGCTGGCGAGTCAGAATGGGAAGGGGATTACGGGGGCTGAGCTGCAGCCCTGGCAGGATGGGGAGGGCAGGACTCCACCATCCTCTCTGACCATCCTGGGATGGCAGGGACAAGCTGAGGGCAAGAGGACAGGCACACAGTGTCCAGGACACTGTGGGGCAGAGAGCTGCCAGCCCACAGCAGCCACAGCAATGGGTCAGACTGAGCTGGCGCCCCATGAAACAGCCCCCAACCATGTCCTCAGTGACCTGCAGCAGGCAGCACCACCTGGGACACCACCAGGTCTGGGACACCCCCATGCCAGTCCCACCACTCCCTGCTCTCCTACACCAGGCTGCAGCTTGGGAACAGCCCCATCCCATTGGCCCCACGGCTGGGCCGGAAGCATGGGGGAGGAAGGAGCTGTTGTCACTCCCAGCTGAGCTGGGGACAATGAGTGGCAACAGCTCCTTCCTGCCACCCCTCTCCCTGGGGCAGCCAGGCAGCCTGCTGGGACAGGACACAGGGAATGCAGAGCCCCAGCTGGGCAGGAAGGATGCCTGTGCCCGCACTGTGACCTGCCAGGCAAGACAATGCTGGGGACAGCCACGACTGCCAGCTGCAGCCTCAGCCATGTTCCCCAAACAGCTTTTCTTGGGCAAGTGTGTGGTGACACAAGGCACTACATGACCTTTGTTTTGTACCAGCCCTGTCCCACCCCATCCAAGGCCACTGGAGCCAGCACAACACCTGCTTTCCCACTGAGCCATTCTAGAGCTGGACACAACATGTAGCATCTACACCAGGGATCCGCATGGGAACTCAGCTATTCCTGGGCTGGATGCTGAGCATCCCTGACAGGCAGCATCCTGCCCGCATCCTGGAGGATGGCAGGTCTCAAACAAGGTCTCAGAGAGGGCATCCGGCTGCAGCCTGCGCTGCCGATTCAGCAGTCACGGTGCCGGGCAGGAAGGATTTGCAGCACTGCAGGACAGAGCAAGGTCGGAAGCAGCACCTGCCCTGGAAGGGCAGGGGAGCAGCCATGGACAGCCTCAAGGACACAGCCAGGACCACATCTCATGCTGCTGTGGCCACTGGGCTGGTGCACACATCCCTGCAGCCAGGACTGTTATACACAGCAGGACTCATGACCAGCACCATGTCCCCGGCTCCATCATCAGCAAAGGGAAGAGGCTGGCCCAGGGCTTGGCCACAGGAGGACACAGGGAGGGGTTGCGGCTGCCCTACGTAGGCAGGTGTGCCAGGCAGCCGTGCCCAGGTAGGCAGGGACTTAAGCCTCGTCTATTTATTGCTGCCACCCAGTTGGGCCCTGCAGCCTCTAATCACCTCCTGTTGCTCTATTCCTGGCCCCTTGTGCAACTCTCCACAGCAGCAACACTGGACAGGTCTGGCCGCTCGCTGCACCTGGACTCAAGCCAACAGGATCTGGCTGGCAGCCTGCCTGCCTCCTGCCTGCAGCACCCTGCCTGAGGCTCAGCCCCTCCATGGGGACCCCAAGGCAGGATGATGTGCCCTGGAACTTGCTCCCTGCCTGGATGGAGCCCAGGGGAGAGCTGGGCAGTCTCAGCCAGCGGGTGCTGGAGGCTAGCTCAGCCCCAAGGGAGGCATGAGCCAGATAGCACATGACAGCGCTTCCAGCAGTGCTGACTAGTCCCCTCCTGGGCCAGACAAGGCTGGGATGCTGCATGCCACAGGCATCCCCTGCTCCTCCCGCTTTGGCAAGCTGGCCATCCTGGGGACAAGCAGCAAGACCCCCCTGTCTGGGGCCACAGCAAGCCCCAGCCAGGCACACAGGCTACTTCAGCAGGGTCCCCGCAGCAGCAGAGGCTTCCCACCAACAGCTGGTCCTTGCATGCTGGTTCTTGCCAGTCCTGGGCAGTGTCCCTGTACTGTGGGAGAGGGCAGCTGCAGCCTTGCTTCATCCTCCACCACCCACTGACCGGCTCCTGTGGGCTGGGGGCATCATGCAAGCAAGGGCAGGAGCCAGCCTGGACACCCTGGCACCAGGGAAGGGACATGCTGCAAGAAAGCTGCCGGGAGCACAGGGGCACCAGGAGGGCACCGTGATCCATCCCAGGAGAGCCTGGCAGGGAGTGAGTACTGGCGATTGAGACACAGGCTCTTTAGCCAGCTGTCACCTGGCACAGGAGGGGAGCACACAGATCCAGACGCTGGGATCTGATATCCCCAGCCACAGCAGCCCCAAGTTACAAGGCAATGGCCCCCAACTCCCCACTGACCTGAGTGAACAGTCTGCTATGGATCCCAGGACTGACTGACACCCACAGGACAGCACCTGCGTCCCTGGGGACCAGGGCATGCTGGGATGGAGGGCTGCAGCTCCACAGAAAGCCATCAACCTGACTCGGGGCAGCAGGGCATCCCCGGGATGGACTGGCACACACGGAGCCCCGCACGGTGGGGATGGCTGTCCACGGGCAGCGGGCATAGGCAGACCCGGCAACCACCGCACCTCGGACGTGTTAAGGGAGCTTCGGGCTCCATCCCACGGGAAAACCTCCCCCCCTCCCGCCTGCGTCTCAGCTGCGGGCGAGGGCCGGGGCGCCCCGTCCCCGGGCACACGCTTCCTGCTCCTCCTCTCCCACCGCCTACCACCGCTTTGCCATAAACACGGTAATTACCAGCTGTGATTGCACCGGACGGGGAGGCGGGCGAGGGGAAGAAAGGTATGATTCACCCCGCCAGCCCACGTCCCCTCCGCCGGCAGGTAGCCGTGCCCGCCCCCCAACCCCCGTGGCCTCCGGGGACCCTCCATGGCAGCGTTACCGGGGAGGTGCCTCATGGCACCCGGGTATTCGGCTGACCGGTAAGCGTGGGGAGCCGCGGGGCTGGTGCCTCTCCATACCTCCGCTCCCTGCCCGCCCCACGGGACCCAGTACCTCCCGAAACCCCAGGGCAGCATGAACGGCGGTGTGCCCGCCGGCAACAGCCCGGTGTACGGGCGGCACCGGCCCCGGGCAGGCTGGGACCCAGCAGTCCGCGGGACTCGGCGTACCGGAGGACACCACCTAGCCCAAACCGGGGGCACCCACCCCCCACCCCCCGGGACACGCCCTCCCGGAGAGGAGCCGGGGACCGGCAAGGCTGGGCAGGACGCGCTGTGCACCCCAGCCGTGACCCTGCAAACCCCCGGGGAACCAGGACGGAAGCCGGGACGGGACCTGAGGTGCCTGCCCGCTCCCGGGGCCGCGAACCAGACCGGAACCCCCGGTGCCGGGGGTCCCCCCGGGGGCACAGAACGGCTCCCAGGGTTGTACACTGGGCAGCCCTCAGCGCACCCACAGACTGCACCCCTCCGGTGACACAGTACCCCCCCCCCCCCCCCGCACCCACCACGCAGACGGTTATTTACCCGGGACCCTTGTGACCCCACGAGTGCGCCGGCTAGCCGGGCCCCGCTCACCTGCTCGCTTGCGGGTGTTGCCAGCGGCGGGCCGCTCCCGGCGCTGCCGCCCCACGCAGCCGCCCATGGCTGGGGCTGGACGGCGGCGGCGCTCGGCATGGGGCCGGGCCGACTCCGCGCTGCAGCCCCGACAGCGGGGCCCGGCTCTGAGCGCCGGGGCCGCCCCGCCCCGCGCCGCCAGGTGCGCATGTGACCGCCCGCGCCGGCACCGCCCACGGGCGTGCTCCTGCTCCCGCCGCACTTTTCTGTCCCCTGCGGCTCGCCGTACCGCCTCTCCGCGTGCCTGTGCCCGTTCCCCCCGGACCAGGGCCTGGCGCATGCGCACAGGGCGGAGCCGGCTCCGCTGCTTGAGGCGTGCGGTGTCATGGCGGCGGCCGAGGCCCAGGCGGGGGCTACGGCGCTCGCAGCCTCTGTGCAGGACTTCGTGACCGGGCAGCAGGACGGCCGCGCCGCTGAGGTGGCGGCAGGTACCGGGGCGGAGCCGGGCTTGGGCGCGGCGGGGGTGCGGCGGGGCGGGTCCTGCGAGCGTGGGGTTGGACTGTGGGGCAGGGCTTAGGGAGCGCAACGGGCCTGGCTGTGGGTGTGGGATGGAGCGCGGTGGTAGCTGTGGGGCTGGAGCGTGCGGTTGTGAGCCAGGTCATGGGGAAGGGGTGGGGCCTGCAGCGGTGAGCTGGGCATTGAGAGGATACGGACTATGGGGCAAGCGTGGGGCAGCAGCCAGGGTGAGGGCTGTAGGGAACGAGGATGAGGAGGTGAAGGCAGAGTTAAGGGGTCTGTGAGGTGGATCAGGGTTTTAGATGGCTGGTCTAGAGCATGGGGTGGGATTGAAGGTGTTGGGTCAACTGGTGGTGTCAGGGTCTGGAATCCCCTGGAACAGGGAATTGAGGTGCTAGGGAGGGGGATGTGGTGTGAGATGTGTGAGTTGAGAGAAGCACAAGGCTGCAGGCCCAGCACTGAGGGTTTGGGGTGCAGTGGAAGCCACTGGCTGTGGCTGTCTGGGGGGTGGGTGTGTATCAGTGAAGGCACCACTGGGAAGGGAGCTCCTGTCCTTGCTGAGATGCTGTGGGGGGTGATTGGTTTCACTGGTCCCTGTTTCTGGGACCCAGGTCTCTGACTGCCCCCGCTGTGGTTTCTTCTTTCTTGTCAAGGCTTGAGGCAGTTACTTTCCTTGGGTAATTTGTGTTTCTGCTTTGGGGTGGTGGTTTGGTGACTTTGTTACATTAGGGAATTTGCAGTTTCAGGAATGTGACCTTCCAAGGATAAGGTGCTGTGTTTGTGTTTCTAGGCAGTAGCTTCAGTGTGTTTGGAAAGGACTTGAGAGAGCAGAGAAGGAGTATATAGTTTGCGTTACTGAAAGAGGTAGCTTATAGACATTTCCCAAGGCTGATGGATTGTGAACTGATCCATGGTAGCTTGGTGAGGAGATGAGCTGGCAGAACAGCTGGCAGAACAGGAGGGTAACCCAGTGGCCCATGTGAAGAAAATGCCAAGGAAATGTGGAGGAATTCACTAAACCTGGTGACATTCAGGATCTTGCAAGAGTCGCACAAAGCTTCCAACATATTTGGAATAGACAGGGGAATGGTAACCTTACAACTGCTGTTGTCATCTGTGGTCATGTTATAGAAGTGCCCAGAGAAAGCTTTGTCTTCAGAGACTCAAAGGGAAAAGTTGCTGCTGTTGCCCCCAGCTCAGCTCTCATCAGCTGCTGGTGCTTATGACAAACCCACCTTGACAAGGGAGGAGCCAGCGAGTCTCCTTCGCCGCTCTGACCCTGCACAGAATCACACATCACAAAGTATTAAATTACATCACGTAGCCCTGAGCGAAAGGGGAGGTTTCTAACCTTGTGGCCGTTGTGCAATTGTTGGAAGAAACACACTGAGCTGCTCCCATGTGTTGCTGAGCGCTAAATTGAGAGTGACTTGGCAAGGGGAAGAAAGGGCTCGGTGCTGTCACAGGCAGCTGGGCTGCACGGGTCAGTGGGTGGCAGGAGGAGGCTGAACTCAGTTTTGTCATAAGATGAGGAGAAGATAGTGCTGGTACAGAAATCCATCACACGCTCCCTGTATTTTGAGGGTGTGGGGGAGACAGGAATGGAAAGCTTACAAAAGTGATTAATGTCTAGAAGAACACCGTGTGAAACGGGGACAGACGTGTGGGGAAAGGGAGCAGATTGATTTGAGTAATAATGCAGCAGCGGGTAAATGGCTTGTTTCTGTTTAGCCTCTGGGGTTGCAGGAACACCAGAACAGGAAGGCAGCTCCTCTTGCTGAAGGAGTGCTGGGATTCAAGGTGTGTAATTAACCTTGGGGATGTGCTGCTGCTGCCAGATGTGGAGGCAGAAGTTTCACGGGCTCACTGCTGTGCTGATGAAGCAGTTCCAATTACACTGTGCTGGCGCTTTAGCGGTGGCCAGCAGGGCTCTGCCTCTGAGCAGGAGGCAGAGCTCACAGGTCCTGCTTCAGGGCTGGTGTGGTCACCCCATGTGAGGTGAAGGGGCCTCCAACCACAGGGAGCATCAGTAGCTGATTGTGGTCTGATCACTGCACTTCAGCTCTTTCCTGTTGATTAGGAAACCAGCAGCTCTGCATAGATGCTGCTTTCAGTCTCTGAAACCCAGAGGCAGAGTGCTTGGCTGCAGGGACATTGCTTTTCTCGGACCTGCTCCACAGTGGTTCAGAGGCACAAGGGCTTCTCATGAGCTTGCAGATGTCGGGAGGCTGAGTGTGAAGGGGCTGTATGAGCTCCCCTGGCAGCACTCTCTGCCTTGTGTCAGTGCACAGCATCCACTCGCTGTTGCACTGCTCTGCAAGAGATTTTTCCAGCAGGTTACAGCTATCGCTCAAGGCAGTACCTGGTGACTCTGCAGCTTCCTGGGCTCCTCTGCTTCCTCACTGCTCCCCTTATCTGTTCTGTCCCACAGTCCAGGCTCCCTCTCCCTGCTGTGCCAAGCGGGATTGGAAGCTCTATCTCTGGAGTTACGGCTGCCTGCTGTCAGAAAACACTCTCATCTCTTCTCCCATCCCTAGAGACCGCGCTCTGATGAGCAGCACGACTTAATCCTGGAATTAGCTGCTTAGGAAGAGCCAGTAAATGCTTGCAACAGCAGGAGACACCAGCTGAGACAAGGCCTGGGAAAGCCCCAAATGAAACCTTTAGGCTTCTGAGGGAGTGGATGCTCTTGTCAGTCATGTAGGCAAGACTTCAGCAGGGCAGAGGGATGAACAGGGCTATTCAGAGTGTCCAGAAGTGCTCCTGGGCAAAGACAGTGCATCTCAGTGACTGGAAAGTGCTGGGTTTTGTGGAGGACAGCTGTTTTGTTCAGGCAAAGAATGAGGGGTGCTGCTTGTTTCCAGTAATGTTACTTGCTACCTGAGCTGCAGGTTAGGGATCCGAACCTAAAGGCAGGCCTGTGCCTTCCACCCCCATGTCTGACCACACACAGAGCTGTCATACTGGGAAGGTATCATATTGGTGGTGGGTGGCAGGAACGGGGACCCTTCTGCCGAGGCTCTTGCAGGATGCAGCAGGTCCTTACCAAACCTCCTGAGGAGTGACTCTTCCCCCAGTTAAGCTGCAAGATTCTTGAGGCAGGAGGTGAGTGAGGCAACCTGGTGAGGTGTCTGAGTCAGAGCTGGAAATAGACTCCTCGTCTTTCTCTGACCACAGAGCTGCCTTTCTCCCATTCTTCCATATTGGAGGGAGTTTGTGCAGGTCTTGCTCAGCATAGCAGGGAGGTGGTGGAGCCAACCTGGGAAACTGGGTGATCCTGACTGTTTGTTCGCGCAGTTCTCCCTCAGGAAGCACCTGGGCAGCAGCTCTCTGTCTCCTCCTGGCTTGCTCATGTTAGGGTATTTGCACGTGTTGGTCATGGATGCAGCCAGGCTGTGTGGAGCTGGTAGAGGCTCTCAGCTCTGATCTAGCTGAGGTAGATCTTGGTCCCTCATGTGTTTGCAGGCAGGGCTGGAGGCAGCTGCACCAGCCAAGTGCTCAGTGAGGTGCTGGACAGCCTTTCCCACTGTGGTGCTGCTGGGAATCTTCCTGGAATGGTCTCCAGCGCTGTGCCTGAATGAGGGTCTGGGAGTCTCTTTGGTTCACTCTCTCTACCTCTTTTCTTCAGGGTTGAAAGATGGAAGCTGGACTGTGCTGCAGCTTATAGAAGCCCTGGGGTAAGAAAAGCCTTTTACACGTTGTACATCGCATAAGGGCCTTGCAAGGGAAGATTCCTTGCAAGGAAGGTCAGTGAGAAGGGAAAGCATACTAGTCCAGGATGAGCTAGTTTCAGTGCTGGCAGACACGCTGCAGCATGCAGGCCTGCAAGGATGTTGTCTGCTCACAGCATGGGGTCTAAGCAGTGCTTTGCCTCCCAGGGCTTGGGAGCTATTTGGGAAAGAACAAGGCTGGAGCAGCTCTCCCAGAACCAAGGTGTTGTGGCAGCAGCAAGCTGTCGGGCACTTCTTAGCTGGGACTGTCCCTGAGCACACAGCTGCACATCACCGTGTCACCAGTTGGCTGGCGCTCAGCTTTTTGCTTCTGTCTGTGCACTGTGGTGGCCTGGGACTTGGGGAGGCTTGTTTCTCCCAAGCTGGGGGCTGGCTTTGCCTCATTGTAAGAGGCTTTGCCCTTTTTTCGCCCTTGTGATCTCAGGAGCCTGAATTTCAGGTGCAGAGCATGGTGCGAGAGCAATTTCTTTGGTCTGACTTGAAAGCTTGGAGTTATTGCTGCATGGCTCTGGGTGCATGTGTGCAGCAGAATCAGGGGCAGAGGAGTCTGCTCCCACCCTGCTGGCAGGTCAGGCAGGACTGGGCCACCACCCCCTGTCCAGAGAGCAGTACCTCTTTGTTTTTATAATGTGTCTGCTCAGGATGTGCTTCCTGCTTGAATATTCCTGCTCACAACAGACCTCTTGTGCTTTCTCCCCATGGGCTAGGTTTTGCCTGGAGAACACAGATCCTCGGATGCGAGGCCGAGGCATGCAGCTGCTGTCGCAAGTCCTGCTCCAGTGTTACTCCCTGCTCCAGGAGAAGGAAGGTAAGGGCTGCTCTGGGCCCTCGAGTCTCTGCTGGCAGGTTGAGGCAAAGCCTGTGCTGCTCAGGTGGCTGTCCTGCAGTTGGCAAAGGGATTGATCTAGCCCAATGACAACTTCATGCATGTCTCTCGAGTCAAAGTTCAGGGAGGGCACGG